TTCGCTTTAAGGTCTCGGATCGCTCGGTGGAAGTGGTAGTATTTCCGCTCTTTTACTCCTGGCTCTTGATTTAACCCGGACAAATGTGACCCCGACAGACACATCAATGAGTGCATCAAGCCTCGATGTTGCGTTGCCATGGGCAGAAGGATTTCTTTGAAGGGGTTCGAGTCGTCATTTATGAGGGTCAAGACACGGCTGAATCCGTACACGAAGTGATCGAGCAACTTGCGATCCATCTCCGTTTCGATGCCGTCGATGAGAATAGGTAGCGAACGATATACGACTGCCGTTTGAGTCCGGGCTGTAGGGGGTAAGAAAAAGAAGTTAGCGCGCAACCCTGGAGAAAGCAGGTATAGTATAAAGAAATTCCCACCATCTTCGATCTTCTGCCTGCCACTCTTCCATATTTCCTTGGGGGGATACCCTTCGCAGACAACAGCATTTTTCTGACAGTTCTGGCAGCTAGAGAGTGGAAGGTCAGCATGTCCCCTGGGGAGGTTGCAGGGCTTCTAGCTAGCAAGCACTTACGCAGGCTTCGTCTCGTCGCATTTCTTCTTGCGGCGTCTACAAGTGATACAACCGGTTTTGGAGCGGCCCTTGGTGACCTTGACCTGGCCGCCGGGCACGGGCAGAGGGTGTTTGCGCGGGCGGCCACGTTTCCGTGGAACAGTGACGGGAGCAGCCGTGGGATCCGTGCCAGACTGAGGCGGCCCTGACAATGACAGCCCCGGCGTCTCCACCCCTAATGGTTTCAGCCCTGGCAGTCCGTCATTGTCGTCCAGTTCCTCTACTTTTGGCACTACGTCCGGCTCCGGCGACGCAAGGACATTGAACTGGAAGACGGTGGAGGGGCCGACCATGGTTGTTGGGACCTTGACGCCGCCGTCACCTGGTGGGGAACTGTCCGAGGGGCCGTCGCCGTCCCACGACTCGGGCGAGTCGTTGGAGGAGTTGTCGGTGCTCACGCTGTCGCGATGGGAGAGCGAATCGTCCATGGAGAAGTCTGGGAAGGCGAGGGGTTCGGCTATGCTCGAGTGGCAGTCGGCGGGCTGGGGGTGCGACAGGTAGCCATGGGAAGGGTTACTCTCGAGATCGGAGGACGGAGGAAGAGCGAATGAGGGAGAGTTTTGCATGGACAACATTGACCATGGGGCGACGACTCGGGAGAGTCAGCGCGCGCAGTCGGGGCTGAGGACAGGGAGGTGTTGAGGGAGAAACCCCCGAGAGCGATCTCGACGACAGCGTTCGGAGGGCGAGATGGCGAGAGGAAGGAGGAGAGGAGAGAGCGAAGACGATGGAGGTCGAGGTGGACGAAGTGAAGTCGAAGTGGGGGCGACCAGGTGAAAACTGGAAGGCTTCTTGGCCGCTGGGGGGAGTCAAGAGCAGAAAGTCGAGAGCAGAGACAACGAGAGGCCAAACAGAGCAGTCGGGGCCCAGGCGGCGCGGCGGAGACGAGGGTCTAATATAAACAGCGCCAGGCAGTTCCCAAGTGAAAGCGATTTGAATAAGAATGAATAATGACAATCAGGTTGTATGACTGGATGGGCCTCAGCTCAACCCAGAGCGCGATTGGGTACGAGGTGCTGAGGATCAGTGGGGCCCAGGCGAGGGCATCCCCCCCAGGCAACTTTGCGACAGGCTCTTCCCTTTTACGCGCCTTTAATGATGGCCCAATTTGCCTTTTATCCCGGGAATGCGGGGGGATTGCCAGCACGAAACTTCGCTAGAAACTTTGCCGTCGTTGCTTTTTCTCGCCTGGCTGAGTTTGTGCGCCAGCTGCCCCCGCCGACGCCGGAGCAGTGGATGGGCAAAAGCAAATCCCATATCGAATGAGAGCCCCGAGAATGGAAGAGAATACAAGAGTCATGTCCAACCGTGAGCCTGCCCTCACCACCGCGCGATGCATGCGTGACGATGGCGGCGGATGATCCTCTCCTCGCTGGACTTGGGCCACTTGGTCCACGCAGGTCGCCAACCGCTGCAGCAGTCGTCTGGGGAATCCTCTCCAGAATGCAGTTGATTTTCCAATCTCCGTCTTTTTTCTTTTATCAATTTTCATTTCTTTTTTTGTTTTTTTTTTTGTTTTTTTTCCTCTCCCCTTTTTATTACGAACTGCAGAAGATGATGGTCTCGGAGATCAAGCGAAGACTCGTATAGTCTTAGCTGGCGCCCGACGCCGTGCTAACTGCTACTTATAGTCGCCCGGCGTTTCGTCCACCGTTAGCCATTATTGTCCCGGACTCACCGATGAATAAACCAACCTCTCTCCCAGTCTCTTTCTCCAGCTGGAAAGATTCAAGATACAAAGTCTGGAGGCGATGGCATTCTGGGGTTTGGATTACGTGCATACAGGATGACACGGCTGGCTCAGCTGGACGCTACACCCCACGCTAGGTACGCCTTGGAACTGGTCTCTTCCGACTTCGACCGTGCGGAGAATCCGAGTCTCAAAAAGATGGCCAGATGCTGTGACGCTGCAGACCACTTTCCTCCTGGGGCAGTGGCCCTGTGGCCCTGCATTATTGGCGACGCTTTGTGACCAGTCGCTGCTCTGCCGTCAGCCTCTCGTTCTTCGCTTCTTCTTTCTTTCATTTCTTTTGTGTCGATTCTCAAGTCTCGACGCCCGACCGTAGACCAAATATCACCCCCAAATTATTCCTAATTCTGTCTCGTCGCAGATTGCACCATAATTAAGAATTTGCACAAATGATGCAGTGCTCCCATCTGAATCTGGGGAAGTGGACCTGGGCAGATCTTGTCATTCCTATTTCCAGCACGGACGCCTCCATCCACCATGCCAGGGAAAGCAACACACCAACCAGAAACTTGAAATTACCCAGCATTTAGATGATCAGGATCAGGATCAGAACCGGGATCAGATGATGGGTCAGAGAAGGGAATGAGCAAATAATACTAATCCGGAGAAGGTTTTGATGATGCTGTCTTCCTCCGCACTTACAGGCATTTCTACGGAACTGTCCACCGCGAAGGCATATTATTATTTTTCAAGGCAATCGCCTCGCGACAGTCAATTTCTGTTTCCGCTTACCGGTACCGGCACGCTTAACCTTCCTGTGAGCTGAGGGGCTACGATTGGATGAGAATAAGTCCGAGTGCTTGGGCCTCGCTAATCGGGACTTGCCTCGAACGAGGCAATCGAGCATAATCCGCCTGTCAGGCGACAGCCTCAGCTAGCTTGCACTGGAATGTGTGCTCTTTATGCTCTTTACACGCACAATTGAGATATTTGTAATGGGCAGCATCCGCCTGGCTGCCTTGAGACTTGACTGACTTGGCCTGATCGTCTCAGGATATGCGGCCATGCCATTCCAGCAGAGCATGGGGACGACAACGAAACCCCAGGTCTCGTGCCGGACTCGTGTTGGATGACGGCGGGTTACCCAGTGGGGAAACCCGCAGAGGCGCAGTGCCAAGTCAAGCCTGAAGCAAGGCAGGCGAGTCTGGACTTGTCAAGAGCAGGGGGGAGCTAAGACCCCTAATTTAAACGAAGATGACAGTGGACGGGAGCCAGCTTACCTGGACAGTTGGGGGATGGCTGGATGGTGAGTTGCCGCACTTCATCTGACACAGGCGAGCTGGAGAATAAGCATCAAGGATTCAAGGGCGGGTGAAACGGCGATGTCATGGTGATACAGTAGTTACAACCCCAAGGACAAGCGATACATGCAGATAATTTACCAGGGTAACAGTCGATCTTAAGCTAACCCTGCAATACTTGGAGGTTTGAATTGGGACTGTGGATAGTGACATGTGGAGCCACGGGAGGGAGCTCCCGTACCAGTTCCATACATCGATATACGTATATAAAAACTTGAGGTTATTGTGCCAGACACTGACAAGTTGACAACAGGAGAACGAGATCTACCCCAGACGCAGCATGACTTGGTTTGTCCAACATTTTTTTTTGGATGCGGACAGTCCTTGCATAAGCGAGCGAAATGCGGAGACGACAGGGGCGGATACAAAGTCCGGAGTACGAGTCCAATATGGATGAATCAGTCTCAGATCCCCTCATCTTCACAGGCTCATCACAATTCACAAAGCTGTCGAGTCAAGGTTCAGTCATAGTTAAGCCTGTGTTCAGTCCCCCGACCGATACCCGTCTTGGAGGCCTCCTAGACTCCTCCCAGCTGTCTAAAAGTTCTCCGCCAACCTCAACTCGTTTCTCGCCCGAGTCCAGTCCAGCCCAGAAGCCCAGACCCCAGTCCACCAGCCTATAGCCGGCCATCGAGCAGGGTTGTCGAGCGCACCGCCCGCCAGAGTAGGAAAAGCCCCGGACGCGTCAGAGCCGTCGGCCACTCACCACATGACCCTGGCTGGTTCCCCCCCTCGTATTGTGGACGAGAATAGTCAGGGGAAGGAAGGTATGCCGAGGACACCGTCTCGCTCCCTCAGAAATAAAAAAAGCCAACGTCCATCTTGCGTCCGATTAGCCGTGGCATGATGACACCAACCGGCGGGGGATCTGATGGGCAGTTTCCAGAGAGGCACGCTCTGCTTCTCCTCTTTCGAAGCTCTTGGAGGCTGGCGCAGGCGGAGGACTCGGAATCCTTCTTCCTTGCCCATACATATTTTTATGATTTTAAAGCCTGCAGGTGGCTTGTGAGACGCGCTGGCTATTCGCTGCGCTGTCCACTGTCTACGTAGACCCCGCGGGCGGTCTTGCAGTTGCAGCTCACTTTTGCATCGGATTCAATTTCAATTCGAAGCTGTTCGGTGGGTTTCGGTGCTTCGTGTTCATACTGTCGTCGAAGTGTACTTGTAGACTACAGAGTGTACTGTGTTTTGTGCATCGCCAACAGCGCTTCAAGAGGAGGCCCATACCAGGAAAGGCAAGCAGACCCGCTGGTCCAACGATGGTCATCTTGAGTCGCGAGTCTTATTGCTTGCATCTCATCCCACGATGCGAATGATGGCCTGATCGCGTTGCTCCACCCTCTCCACCGTGCCCAGCGGTCCACTGCTCCAGGAACAAGTCAAGATTTGGATGGAGTAAAGCGAGGCGAAGCATCGCACTCCTTCCTATTTAGAGGGGGGCGTCGCTTGTTTCCGACGACATCATTGTACTCCTCCCAAGTCTGGTATTCACCTCGTAGGCTTGACAACTCTTCAGGATCATCAGGCTGTTGATGTTCATGTTCATCAGCCAAGCCGTGCTCGGATCTCTTTCTCTGCAAATGCGGTGACTGTGACTGCGACTGCGGGGTTTTTATTCTGGCCTCAAAGTTAAAGGAATCTTGGAACCTTTCCGTTTCGGTTCTTTCCGTCTCTCCACCTGCAGAGATGATGGTGTTCATGCCTTCATTGCTCAAAGTGAAGCCCCTTGCTCAAGCCAGTCTCACTTCCAAGAATAACCAGGCGGCTCGTACCGTGTTTCCGTGACTAAAAGATTCCACTTGCGGTTGAAAACTTGAATCTTTGTGATACAAACTGCATCCGTTGTAGCGGCAGTGGCACGCCCAAGCTAAGTGGAGAGCAACTAGCGACTTTGCTTGGTGGGTACTGGGAAGGCTGTCTGGTTTCGCAGCATCGCTGACAACAGCGCCGCTCCCATTGGACCTGCCCTCTCACCTCCTTCTCCTATCCTCGCTGGCCTGGACGGTTTGGGCAACTCTCAACGTGCTCGAGTTGCTATGCCAGTGCTCTGAGTGGCGGTCGGGAGTCAGTCCGGAGCCGGTGCGGAGTCCCAGGTGGCTTCGGCTGATGGGTGGTGGTGAGGTTGAGGCATTTTATCGTGACTTGTGACAGGGATAATTGTAATAGTCGGTCGGGGGTTGGGCTTGGGAAGCTTGCGAGCGGCAGGCAGAAGCAGAACGGACGAGGGATCTGGGAAGTGAATCGCGTAACTTTTGCGAGGCCGTCCAATTCCCAAAGCAGAATCGTGACTTGCCAATTTTCAGGTGTCGAGGCGTGGATCGGAGTTTGCCTTCAACATCAATCTACAGAGCTGCCAGGTATGGCTGTATGAGTCGATGACAGGCACAGACCCAGCAGTCTGGGTCCATCTCAACGTTTAAGCTTCCGGAGGCTGAATCTTGCTTGCGATGGCGACATCTCTGTGCGTGGAATGCTCATAAGGTCCTCGCTTCTGGGGCTCAGGTTCGTGGCCTGGGCTGCGTCCGCGGTCGGTCGGTCGGGCCAGTCGCCTGTGTGACTTGAATCGAGGCTAATCGTCGTTCTCCAGGCTCGTGATAAACAAACCATCTTGGCTACTCGTTCAAGATGTGAGTTGGAACTTGAGAGATGGACTTCTCATTTGATGACGACCGGGCCGGGCAATCGCGGCTTCAATAGTCGCTCCTGGACTCCCGGCCGATCGGTTCGCCATCTGGTTGACGGATCTGGCGCATGGTCATTTCGACAGTTCCTATGGGCTGACGTGATCGATCGTTCTCTGTCATCTCTTTAAGGTTGGGACCATCTGGCGAGATGCCTTGATCGACGTTCCGCGGAATTGCAGCGACATCGACATGGGTGTGATGATTGAGCCGGTTGCCTTTTTTCCTGAGGTCTGTCCTGCTGATGGCCGATAGTCCAGGACTGCTGTTAGCACTATCGAAATACGAGAGTACTTTAGCTGGATCAAGATGAAGCAGGGAGTACCAGGGTATATATGCTTGACCATTCCATTCAACAAACACAATTGCTATTCAGCCTTTGTTATCTCGGTTTGATAAGGACTCTGATAAGGCAGCCCTTGTCCAACCAGAGGACAACAAGCCCTGTCTATCTACAGACATTCTCGGCTTGATACGCCCCAAACACCCCTCACAGCCAAGGGCCAGAAAGGGCTACCTTAGTGATAGACCCACGCGCCATCGAATGCCTCTGCAGGTCGACGGTTAAGGTAACCTTTTTTTTTTCTTTTTCCCTAGGATCAATAGCCCGGCTGTTCAGCTCTTGGCGGGAATTATATCAGAATTCATACTATTTATCTATACTCAGCCTTTGGGTCAGTCGATCGGCTGGACGTAGATCACCGTAGCCCTGTATTGGCCCTGCGTTAGGGACAATGTCTTTTTTTAGACCAGGGTTGCCTGCTTTGTTTATGGAGCCAGAGGGTTGTTTAGCAGTTGAATGATATTGTAGGTAAGCTAGATAAAATCTAGGGCAATGAGTGATCTCTAACATGGCCTGGTAGCTAAGAATATGGTTAAGCCATATGCAGAATGCCTGAGATGTCTGAATGCTTCGGCTCAACTTGATCTAGTTTATGCTGTTTTCTATATTAATACAGTAATCAAGCCAACAACTCCCTCTGCAAAACCCGATCAACACCCTCCAAATACACCCTGATGTCCCTTGGGTCCTGATACGCCTCATTAAACTGATACACAAGCCTCAGCTTCCCGCGAAACGTATAGAAATGAAACCCGGACATCCCAAGGACAACATCACAAGCTAGCTTCCAGTCCTTAACAACCACGCCATCCCCATAATACCTCTGCAGATAATTCTCGACCACCCCAAGACTACTAACCAGCGCATCCGTCGGAATCGGCGCCTGCTGGTACTCTGGCGTCTTGACGACCTGCTCAAGCGCCCGCGTAAAACAACTCTGGAGTTCCAAAACCTCCGGCTTCTCTTTCAGCGTGGAGCGGTAGTACTTATTCAGCACTGCAGAGGTCTCTTTAAACCCACCACCACCAGGCTGGCTCAAATCTATGGTCAAAGGAAGCGGGGCATAATAATTCGCCGCCGCAGCACCGCAATACGGCTCCTCCAGGTGTCCCCGCAGATTAAACTCCGCGGACGATGTATACCGTGCCGTATTCGACTCGGAGTCCGCATACTCTCTCAGAATGGCGATGTAGGCAGCATGCACAGCGGAAGTGACTGTGATCCCGCGCGCCTTGCAAGCCCCGACCAGCGCCGCCGTGGTATCCTCGTCAAAGACATACTCCATAGCCTGGCATGCACCGGCGGGGACTTTGCCGACTTTAGAGGGCAGGCCGATGGCGGGGAGGTTGGTGATGTATTCCATGAGCAGGGCGGTTCCTTTCTCTTTCTGTTCTTGTGTTGGGTTTTCTGAGTCCGGGCCTGGTAGGACGATGCCCAGCGCAGGCGCGAGACGGACGTGCTCGTCCCCGAACGTGATATTGTGGTTTGGACTGGCTACAGCGTTGAAGAAGCGATGCCAGATCATGATCATGCCGATACCGTCGACGGTAGCGTGGTGAGCGTGCAGGACCAGCTCTGATGATTTCGGGAGATAGTACAGCGTTGCAGGTTTGGATTTGCGGCCGAGGCGGTACAGTTCTTCGCCGTCGTGGACGCGGTCGACGACGAATGTCGAATCGAGCCAGGTCTCCTCGATCTCGGCGTCGCTGAGGACCTCGTAGACCTTCTTTCCTGGCTCGAGGGTTGTGGCGATGTCTGGCTCTTCGTGCCGGACCTGTTTCCAGGCGTGGCGGAGGGCGGCTTCGGGGTTGGGGATGTTGAGGTCGACTTTCACCTTGGAGCAGACGGTGTATTGCTGGCGGCCGTCGTAGAGCGCTGCGGTGATGTCGCCGATGAAGACGAAGTATTCTTCCATCCCGCTGAGGGCTCGTTCCCAGCGGGTGGGCGAGACTTGCGACCAGGCCATGGTTATTCTGAACTATACTGAGCGATTATACTTCGGGTATTTGTCTATTTATCTCGAACGTGAGGCCATTGCGTGATCAGGCGTGCCAGGACTGGGCCCCTGCGTGTAATATTTTAGTCGCCGCGCAGTCTCTTGCTTCTTCCGGCCAATTACTTGGTCAATCCAATTCGTCGATAAGATGTCTCCCAAGGACTTGGAGACCTAAACCAGAAATAGAGGATGTTTATGGTAAAAGGACGGCTTTGTACGCTTATCGAGAACCCCGCCGTGATTGTAGTTAGTTCAATATTATATATAATAAAGGTACCTACATAACGGTCCATCTCATAAGAAAAGACGAAGAGGTTAGTGTAAAATCATGCCCGCTGCGTCCTTCCATACCTGTCGTTTGATCGTAGACTCTCAACAAGACATAAGTGGTGAAAATGGCGCCCTCTAACTCATGATTCTCAAGGTCTTGCAAGACAGGGACTAAAAGAAAAGTTTACATTATACTTACACCACAACCAGCGCAAAGCAAATCTGCATAGCCAAAGGCAACCTCCACGAAATCGGGCCCGGAACATAAGGCATGCCAAAGTCAAAGAAATACGACACGACAATGCCCACGCCCAGGAAAATGACTTCGGAGGAAATGACCCGGCCGCGATGTTCAGGCCGTGAAAGCTCCGCCTGGTATGCAGGCACCGTGGACGTTTCACCTTTTTGGACAGTCGACTGGTATACAATGTATTAAAAAGGACTGTATAAAAGGGGGCTGCCGACTGTGCAAGTCGCTTCTGACAAGCCAAACAATCAACTTGCTATCATGGTGTCTTCTGCACATATCGTCGGCTCCATTGCAGCCCTCACCCTGATCTACTTCGTGATATACCCCGTCGCATGGTATGTCTGGGATCCGTGGAAGCTCCGCAGATTCCCAGCACCCAGTTTCCTCGCCCCCATCAGCCCCATCTGGCTGATGAGCATCAACGTTGGCGAGAAGCGATCCTACCGAGTCCATGAAGCTCATCAAAGGCTTGGTCCTATCATCCGAGTCAGCCCTAATATGGTCTACTTCAACGAACCGCAGGCCGTCAACGATATCTACGGCCACAAAGCTGCGTCGAAGATGATCAAGGATAAATTCTACGACCGGCTCGCGGGAGACTATCATGACATCGTGCAGGAACGGGACCGCGGCGAGCATTCGCGGAGGAGGAAGTACCTCGCCCATGCCTTTGCGTTGAAGACGGTTGTTGAGATGGGGCCTGTTATTCGGGCTAATGCGATGAATCTCACTGCGAGGATTGAGGGCTTTATTGATGATATGGCTGGCCACACTGGAGGCTCCAGCGAGACCTTCAATGTCCGAGCATGGCTCAACAAGTAATTGTATTGAGCACATTAATAGAGCAAATGCGCTATTCCGCAAACTGACAAAACCCTCCGCGGTGGAGTCGAGATTGCAGTCTGATACGCCCAATTCGCATCCATCCATGGATCCAGTTCATCTCGCCTTGTGCTCTCATCCTCGGCTCTCCTCATTAATCTGCCTGCATTCTTGCTATCGACATGACGGCAAATCCAGAATGCAGCGCAAAGCCTGCGATCAATGCCACGCCCGGAGGAAGAGATGCTTAGCCCGTCCAGCATCCTCTACATGCACTCGATGTGAGAAATCATCTCTCACCTGCACCAACAGCCGCCAACAGCCGCGCGTAGGACGCCCGCCAAAAGAAGACCGCGGGCTTCCTGGTGCCGCGAAGGCATCACTGGGGCTGTGGGACTGCACTACACCAAAGCCGAACGAGATAACGGCCTCAGCCAGCCCGCAGCCGCAGCCGCAGTCCCAGTCCCAGTCCGACGACCTCGACCTCGAGTTCTATCTCCAGCATGACATCTACATGATCGGGTCCACATTCGCAAGTGACTTCCACCGCGCCCTGGAGTACTGCCACAGCCACTCTGCACCGCTCCTAGACGACATCTTCCACGCCTGCAGCAGCTCGCTGTCCTGGGCCCGGTTCGGCGTGCTGAGCGCTGACCAGGTCGACGTGGCGAGCGGCGCAGCTTCAGTCGAGAAGCTCCGGAATGCAGTCATAACACATACCCATGACGCCGCTGCGGTTCTGATGCTCGGCCAGGCACTGGCTGCATTCGACAGTCTGGTTGCATCTACAGCGACGATATCTATCCTCCGGTATGCGCTTTCGCTGGTGCGGCCCTGGTATCCGGATCTATTGGGCAATAGGGTTCTCGAGTCCGTTGCCATTGCGCCCATTTTTTGGGACACGGTGTGGTGTTTATTACATCGTGAGATTCCTATCGTGAAGCCTGTTTTTGCGCGGGAGGGAATCGTCGATAGAGTCGTGGGCCTTTGTGCTTCCCTCCTCCCGATTCTCTATGACCTCTGCGTTGTCAGCCATAGTCTGGCCGATCCGTCTATCTCAGAGTCTGAGATCCAGTCGCAGTACAAATCCCTCGGCATGATCGAGACGAGAATCCGTTCTTGGGACCCCGAATCAATACTATCAACATCAGCCTCATCCCCGTCCACTAATACCACCTACACACCCCTCGAAACCCTCTCCATGAAAACCCAAGCATCCATGTACCGCACCGCCATCCTCCTCCTAATCCACCACATCCGCCTCTCCTCCCCGCAAACCCAGCCACCAAAGCATGAATACGACAACGAAAGCGAATACGCACCAACCCTCGCAACCGAAATCCTCACCACGAGATCCAAATTCTTCGCCCTCGCCGGTCCGGCGTCCAAACTCCAAAACACGTGCTTCCCGCTCATCCTCGCCATGATGACGATCCCCGGGATTCCAACGGAGGGAATGTGGGAGAGTTCGACGCGGTTGCAGAAGCGGCCTGCCTGTGTGGAGAAGTTGTTTGCCTTTGGGGAGTATTTCTGGATGAGGAGGGCGGGGGAGGAGAAGGAGGGTAAGAAGCAGAGTAGTCTTTTCGAGATTGTCTGTGATGAATCGGGGCCTGGGTTTGTGCCGCTTATGTAGATTGCTATTGATATTATATTCGTGGTGGTCAGGTGTACATTTTATAAGATTAGATCTTATACTAAAACATTTCCGATGTTTATTTATTTGTTGTGTTTGGTAACCAGTCAGAGTAAGTTCCAGGGTGACTGGCACATGGAGGTAAAGCTACAGGTCTTTGGTAGGGAAGGCATGGGCTGCATATATAGAACAGAAGTTTATTTAACCTCCTGCCAAAGTTTGCCGAGCCAAGGTTGACAAGTACTTATATAAAAGACAGATTGAAATAATACCACGTAATACTAAGAGGTGATAGGGGTTTTACTACACTCGTTCGGTTTGATAAACTGTGTAAATTGTCTAAATGGAACATAGATAGCATAATATAGCTACCTTGCCAGTAGCGACAAGGCAAAGAGAATCATATCGTAGACCGTGTCGAACGAACCGCCAATATGCCGATGTAAATGGGAAGTAAATAAGCAGTGACGTGGAAGAAAACAGAATAAAAAAAGACCCCACCCATGCAGCATGCTCCTCTTGTATAACGCCGACCAACCTGAACCGAGTGTGATAGTAAAAGATAAAAAGAGAAGAAAAACGGAATGGATAGGAACGAGAGAGCCCAATTCACCGCAGGCTCTATGCATGCCATGAGAGGGTCTTTATCCGCAAAACAGAACGTAAAATGAGAGACTACGCCTTGAAAGCTTTGTCAAGCTGGCGAAGAGCACGCATGTCCTCGTTGCCGAATCCGATCTTGTCGCTAGGGATATCGCGCGGTCCGTCCGAAGGTCGCCCGTTTGCAGCACCCGAGCCAGCGGGCGCAGGGCCGGGAGCCGCTGCTGAAATCGACGGTAATGAACCTCCCGAACTGCTGTTCATAAGAACGTTGATGCTTGGGACGGTTGTGCCGCCGGTTTCTGAGGGCGGTCTGGACGGGGGATTTGGAGGCGGGATGCTCAACCCTGAAGCGGGTGGGGGAGGCGGGGCTTGGTTGACAGCTCGCGGGCTCCGGACGGCAGGGATGGGGACTCCATTGACGTGAGGACTTGAATGAACAGCCTGCATGCGTGGAGAACCTCGGCTTACGGCGAACTCTGGCGGGGTAGGTTCGGCCATTACGCGAGGGGAGCGAGCGGGAATTAAAACAGGCGCTTGCTGCAGGACGTGCGGTGGGTGTCCAGGGGCTTCCATCGGATGCACTGCGCGTTCGTAGCCTGGCGGGATGCCTGGTTGCTGCTGGGGCGGTGGTGGTAGCGGGTGATATGGTTGTGGGTGGTGTGCTGGCGATAAGTAGGGGTAGTGGATTGAAACAGTGGGAGGCGTGCCTATCGGCGTGGGCGGCCATCCGTAGCCAGGAGCATACGACGGCGGATGTCCAGGTGCGCCAGGGCGAGAGTAGGGGGCCATATGGTGGTGAGGAGGAGGTGGTGGTGGAGCGGGCACTGGGTGGTAAGGAGGCCCCGTCATCGGACCACGAGTGACGACAGGGAGATTCTGCTGGTCGTTGACGGTCGACTCTGGATAGAGGCCCTTTTGCGGGCGCACGCTTCGCAGAGCTGGATCATTGGATGGCTGGAGGAGATTCGCGGCGTTGGGATGCGACCGGGAGTAGTAGCTTATGAGGTGGAGATGCTGACCAGTCGACGTTGTGATACTGAACGACTGCTTCATTAAACCATCGGGTTTATATCGATACCCATCTGGACCATCATCGGGGCCGTCTCCCCGGTCGTCATCGCTGCCGCGTGCAGAGTCTGGTGTTTTGCCAGTTCTTGGAGGCTGGGTGGGAACGCTGGTGCCTCCACGCTTCCCCTCCATCTCACGATAGGTGAGGAAACTCCCAGAAACACGACTGGCGCTCCATGACTTGCCGTCGGTCCAGCGTCGCATGCCAGCTTCCCGCTCATCCCAAACAAACACAGAGCCGGACTGGATGAGTTGCCGCTCCTTTTCGGACAACCGGCGCTGGACACGCGGCAGCATACCAATGCGGCATGCTTCAAACAGAATGATTGCGTCCGCAGGAGTGCGGACGTGACCGTGATACGTCTCCATCCAACTTCGGTGGTAGGACCCCGAAATTGTGGAAGGTTTCAGGGCCACGGGGGGTGAGTGGTAGTCGAAAATTGTGAAGAGCTGGGAGACGAGGTACAGGGGCGCCCTTTATTGAAGGTGCCTGGGGGGGAGCATGCAGGATTACCCGAACAGGCAGGTCGGGGAAAACCGAAGGGACTGGGCCGGTTAGAGTTGGTCTGAAACGAGAGAGGGGGGCCGGAAATCCGGTCGGGGAAGACTCACAGGGAAAAAAGACAAGAGATAGCAAGGTGTAGGGGAACAAGAGCGGGGAGGGAGAAGTCAGGAAAAGGTCGAGAAGGCAGAAAGGGCCGAAAGATGACAGAGAGGCCGACGCCTTAAAAGAGACAAGAAAAGTAAGAATTCAGGTAAGAATTAGAGCGGGTGGGGAACACTGGGCCCCACTGCTCAGCAAAGGCTAGTTTATACAAGACTGCCACTGCGCAGGCTCACAGGTCAGCGGCCAAGGCGACTCTGAACGGGCCAACAGGAAGCCGGCGACGCAGTGAATGCCCAGAGATGAATCATGGACGGGCTCCAGCGCAGAGTCCCTTTGGCCAGCCGGGGGCGCAATCCAGGGAGAAAGAAAGAGAGGGCGACGGTGGCGCCAACCAAAAGCGATTAGAGCGTGACTTCTGAAGCTTAAGCTTAATCCAACACGAGGAACCTTAACTCGCTTACTTAAATTACGCCTGATTACCGGCCCATAAATTACGCCCCACGCTGCAACCACAAGAACGTCAACTCAATAATAATGCTCCCTGTTGTGTGCACAATTCTTGACTGGTTAGTTGTATTTTGCGGTAACTGCCAGTGCCCCTTCGCAGGCAAAATAAACGAGCAGCCAGCCAGCCAGGCACCAGCGATTGCCCCCATTCCAGCTGAAAATTCCGCGGTCCAAAGCTTGTCGCGCTTGCCCAATGACTCGCAGCTGTTGTGAAGGATCAGTCATCTGCCCCTCTCTGTTTGGAGGTGAAGCCCACTCAGGATGCACTCTGTTGCTTGGCCTCTTGGTACTCACGTAATGGCAGGATACTGGCTCCAGGATACAGCTCGGCGCTGTAGCACTAATTCAATAATGAGAAAGTGGCAATGCAATGCACCTTCAGTTAGGATTATTATTACACTCTGACTGACTAACGACTGACTCGGGAGCATCGTGCGACAAGACGCCAGGATAAGCGTATCGCCAACAGAGTCGGCCCAATTTAGTTGGTTCCTTGGCCACGCAGCTAGCAGTCGCTAAAATAAGCTAAACAGCTCTGTGACTGTTGATTGACCGGGGGGCCCGTATTTGACGGAGAGAGGGCGTTTGGGGGTGGGTGGGAGAAGACAGATCGCCTGAACACAGCACAGCCATCAATCACATCATTTGGCAAAGACAGGAGAAGGGGCAGCACACATGCCTTTCGCTCTCGCCCACAATCCAAGATCCTTCCTTGCATCCCTGATCGAAGGATCTGATGTAACCTGTCGCCTGGAATCTTCGGTCAATAATAGTCTAATAGGCTGCTCGCTAGCCTGGCGCTGGGAGAAGCAAGCAGAACCCAGGCTGATCAGGGGTGCTGTGGAACGTTTCACAGGCTTATCTCCACTAGCATAATTGGTTTAAAGTATGAGACAGGCCAGGTTTCTTTTTTCCTTTTTATTTTTTTTTATTATTTTATTATTTCTATTTTGTCTTGTGAGGTCAAATTTCCGGGCTGGGGCCAGTGAAGGAACAGGTTACAGGTCCAAGCGTGCAGCTTGCATAACACCGAGCTGGTTACAGTAAAATACCTCAATTCAGATATGCTTAACACCAGTAAGGTTGGCAACTTGGCATTCCCCCGCGTGGGCTCCACTGGCTCTGTTCGTTTCCTTCTTCAGCCAGAGCCCAACCTCGTCCGTTTCTTGTGCTTCTTGGCTCTTATTAATATTATTGCGTCTTTACGTCGTTTTCCCAGTTTCGCCTTCCGGAGGCCCCGGAAGGCCCGGCATTTCTTCATTGTCCAGGGTAAGACACTCCATATTAATCGCATTCACGGTGGACTGGCCACTGCCCCAGCGCTGAGCAGGCGGCCTCCAATAACAGCCGAATCCGCCGCTCCAGCAGCCCAAGAAGCTTCCATTAAAGTAATCCGTTCCTGCCTCTCCACCCGGCCTATCTCGCATAAATCCTCCGTTCTGGTCCTTGTTAGTCACCCCCAAGCCTTCCAAGCCTTTTAGCGACTGCGCGATGGAGAACTGCGCCCAGCCGAGCACTGGGCGCTGAAACGCCTCGCTCGTATCGTCGCTCCACTCCATAGTGCAGTCCACTCTTTCCTGTAGTATCGTCGGCTGTCTCTGCCCACTTGTCACTCTGGAGTCTGAATCAGGAAGAAGGAATGGTGGCGACCGGTGAATATTATTTACCAGTCACAGCGTCATATTTCAAGAGCCAAGCGGCTCACACGGATATATTACTTTACGCCTCGGAGAATTACTTCTGGTCAGCCTGACCTTCCGCCAAACTGACACTGGTCAGTCGCCGACGATGACGAGCCTACCAGTGCTTTGGCCCCCTCGTCTAGTATCTCGAACAAGTCCGATTTTTTAATATTAATTATTATTCTTATTCTTCACCGTCAAAGCCAGACCAAGACAATTAACACCACGTGCCCCTCCTCTCCCAAAGTCTGACAGTCAGCGTTGAGGTCTTGACTCTTTATACTCGCCCCGATAAAGTTTCGATAACCTCATCCCCGGTCGGCTAAAGCGGCATCGAGAACATTCGCCTACGGAGCTCCATGCCTAAGGCGGTAATCATTATTCAGGCAATATAATAATGTCATTCATTGTGTTGCAATTAATAATAGCATATTGGCTAAGAAAAAAATAGACTCCATAGAATTAACTTTTCCATGGTCCAGCCAGCCATTCCTTCGCATACGATGACGGCCTCTTGTGTGGAATTAATAACTACGTATTTGCGGACTGTGCCGACAGCGACGACGACGTGGGCCCCTGTGTCCAGAAGGTATTACTTATTCGGTAATGGACCACTAATAGTGTATCAGGTATGAATGATACATACTACAAAAAATTCGATCCAGCCGCGATGTAACATGGATCCGACGTTAATATGCTGATCGCGGGATCTTGACTTGGATAGAATTACTCTAGAATCAAATAATTGGTCTGTGATTGTGGCAGTGACTGACCCTTTCTGCCTTGTGGCCTTGTCTTTCTCTTGCTGTATTCAGTCTCGGCATCCTGAATGACGTTGGATTCGTCATGGAAATGGCTTGGAAAGTTCTTGCTTTGAATGTTACGATTGGGATGGATCCCAAGACTTCCAGATATTCGCATGGCACAGCATAGACGCGATGCGATGCCAAGTCAGATTCTACATATACTATACAATACAATTACACCAGTCGCTAACAATCCGCCCGACCAAAATACCTTGGAAACGCAACTGTGTCCCTTATACTTGATACTCCAGTCAGATATCCCAGAAACCGGTCAAATCCGAGTCCGAATCCGCCATGCGGCGCAGTCCCCCACCGTCGCAGGTCAGCATACCACTGCAAATGACTGAGGTCTTCTCCAGGAAGAAGGTGGGGATAGTCTTGTTCTTCTGCTGCATTCTCAGCCGACGACTTGATAAGCCCATGCTCGCGCATGTTCTGGATGAGTTCTGGGAGGCGGTGTTCCCTCAGCGAGCCGCCGGCAACTTCGCTGACTTCAGGGAGGAGGAGGTCGAAGCAGGCGACTGTTTCTGATTCCGCGCTGGTGCTGGCTGACGGCGCCATGTAGAATGGCTTGATGGCTTTGGGGTAGTCTGTGATGAAGATGGGTTGGCCGTTGTTGATGGTGTCGACAAGGTAGCGTTCATGCTCGAGTTGCAACCCGCCGTCCCAGGTTGGAGCGTACTCAAACGTCGCCTTGCCCTGGGAGACGGATTCCTGGAGTGCTGCGATTGCGTCTGTGTAGGTAAGACGACGCCATTTAGGTCCGTCCATGAGATCTAGCCAACGCTGCCGGAGGTCAAGAGTTGCATTTGGCTCAGAAGATTCCGGGTTAGTCTCGTGCTTTATAGAGAGGATTTCCTGTCCTGCTGGCGTTTCGTAGAGTCGTCGTGTCAGGTCGCGGAGAAGGTACTCAACTACATCGGTAAGGGACTCGAGGCTGGAGAGGAAGTTGACCTCAGCTTCAAGCATGTAGAATTCGCTCAAATGCCGGGGAGTATCGCTCTTCTCGGCTCGGAACATGGGCGCCAGCGTCCAGACATTTCCTAATTCGGCCGCATACGCTTCTAGATGTAGCTGCGAGGATACGCTTAGGTACTTGGGCGCCCGGAAGAAATGGTCATGTTCCTTGTCCGGAAGACCCGTCGCCAATGTCTCGCGCGGAACTACAGCAAAGGTCTCTCCGGCACCCTCGCAATCGGACGACGTGATCACCGGTGGGTGGACCTGTATGAACCCGCCATTTGGAGCAGCGCGAAAAACATTCCCAAGCTGGTATAAGCACTCGGATCGGAAGCGGGCAAGGAGCGAGTTGAGAGGGGTTCGGAAACGGAGGTGAGGAATCTGCCGGAGGAATTCAGGGCTGTGGTATTTTTTCTGGATAGGGAATGTCTGTAAAAAAAAGAACCGCCAGTCAGTTGATGTCGTTTAGAGACCATGGTGTGACCAACCTCTGGGTCTGCCTTGCCCACAACATTCACTGTCGTCGCCTGTAGCTCATGGGTCTGCTCCTTTCCAGGCGGGCAAGCCTTCCATAAGCCTGATATCTCAATTGCGGTCCCAGTTGATAACCTGCCATATAAAACCAATCAGAGAAGACGAGAAAACTCGCAGAAGGGTGCGACATACTCAGCCGCCTGTGCAGGCTTCAAAATTGCTTGTACAGCATCCACAGCAGATCCATCAGAGATCTCTGCAAACGCGAAACGTTTCTGCTTGCGGACAGAGCGAATGTAGCCGTGCAGTTTGATTTCCTGGTCTTCGAGACTGCAGGGCTTTTGCTGGCTGTTTCGGAGGACCTGCGCGCATCGGAGAAGTGTCGGACTTGATGCTGTTGCCGGAGGGTTATGATTCAGCCTGGCGAGAGACGTGACGAAGGTGCGACGCCATGTCAGCATTTCTGATCAGCGCGAAACAAACAATTGGCTTTATAAAACGAGTGAGGCTGTCGCGAATCCAGATGTTTTGGAGTCGAGTCACGGGAGACGAGGATGATTCAGCTGATAAGATCTTATCGATAAGACTCCCTTTGTACACACCTACTCCGCATTTTACAACACCCATCGCTCGATGTTACTATGGGATCAATTCATTCTCTAATCTGGTGGAAATGCTTTTGGCAGATAGACTACCGAATTGTATCCTCCTACTTCTATCTACGAAATGCACGCCGCCTACCCTCAAGATCATGGTCCAATACATCATCGAGGACAGCCTCGTTGTCCCGCTTAGCCTTCAGGCGAGCAAGCCTATGCTTACGTGTGTCCTTCTCCGTCTGGCGAGTTACCCACCAAGTGTACGAGTTTGTAATCCCGCAAAGAGCCACAAGACCCATGGCGAGCCCGAACGGCAGCTGGTACCGCGGCTCGTACTTGTCCTGGAACATCTGTGGCCCAACTGCGTCACCGACCTGTCCATAGCTATTGACAAAGCCGATTGCAAAGGCGGACCCTGTAGCTCCATTGACTGTCTGAGAGCGCCATGACCACATCATACTGCGAAGCGTTAGTGAGTTGTGTCGGTCAGAGCTGGATGGAAAAGACGTACGGAAACCAAGTAACAGATGCGGCATTACCGATCATCATTGCGATATAAACGCCAATGTCGTTGGGGTACGCCACCAGCACTGAGTAACAAGCTATAACGATGACGGTGCACGTAATGGGAAATATGGGAAGTGGGACTCTTGCTCTGCTGGACGCGAATCCACCGATGATAATGAACACAATGGTCAGAACCGACATGGGGATATTGAGGATCTGAGCTGTCCTGATGTCGCTGAAGCCCATGTTGGCGATGATGGTTGGCTGGTAGAATTTGACGCCACTGCTTCCACTGGTCATGCAAGCCCAGCTGAGGGTGAAGAGCCATAGTCTGCGGTCACGGAAAGTCTTGACAACTTCCTTGAAAACAAAGTTCTTTTCTGCTGCTCGTGGAGAGTTTACCGGTAGGCGCGCCTGAAGGAATGCCCTCTCAGTTGGAGACAGCCACTTGGTTGTAGCAGGGACTAGTAGCCTGGTTAGGGTTGATATACCACATGCAGATGGGCAACATACAGTCAGGTAAGCAGAACAGGACCACAACTGCTAGTACAATTGTCACAGCACCCTCAACAATGAACAGCCTGCATACGATAATCAGTACAGCGGTGGGTTTGGTGAACATTTCAAACATACCATTGCCAGCCGGATACGCCACCAGCCCCAGAGACGCCATTGAACGCATACGCAAGAACTCCTCCTATAATACCGGCGACATTCCCAACGCTGTCTTTAAGCTGTCAGTGCATCCTCTAAAGGCATCCAACGATAATCCTTACAAATCCAGACCAATCTCACAGCAATTTCATCAGGCCGGTACCAGTAGGTAAGTTGCAGAATAATAGCAGGAAACATCCCAGCCTCAGTCTGGAAAATGTTAAATATTCCCTCGTCAAAGCTGGGTTGGTAGGAACTCACCAGTCCGAGCATGAACCGCACAGTGTATAGACCAGCCAGGTTTTTGACTGCAGCAGTGCAAGCCGTGACAATTCCCCTTCAAAAGTCAACTTCAGATACCAGTTAGAAACAATATTAATCTCACCAGCTGATCATAATCCTAGACTGCCATCGGGATGGTTTGACTTTCTTCAATATCAAATTGGACGGAATCTCAGCTAGGATATAGGGCACCTGGCAGCCGAGTCAGCGTTATCGATGGCTAAGGCAGCATTCTATTCTGCTCCACTCACTGTATACAAAACAGTGACCATGCCAAACTGATCAGACGTGATTCCCAGTTGCGTCAGGATATTACGATCTGTGCCCTGATTCATGATTCTCGCATTGGAAGCCTGCATCTGTCAGTGGCTATTATCATTATCGCCGTTGAAAGTGCTAACATTGTTTTCATCAATCTTCTTCATCAGATAGAGCATGCATAGAAGAGGGACCAGACGCCAGTCTACTCGGCGAATCAGCCTCCGCTCTTCGTCGACGGTCAGCGCAGTAAGGGCGGCCTCTCGGCTGAGCTCATTATCGCCGTCAGGAATATCGACATCCTTCCCTGCACGTTTTGCCGTTGTGAAATCATGTTGGGAAGACGGAGATGTGTCGTGAGCTGTCACCGATATGTCGTTTGGCTTGGTTGAAGTCATTGTGAACCATGAACATATATGAGGGTGATAACATGGGATATGGGGTTGTTATGCGATATATAGTCGCAAAAAGCCCAGTCCTTCCTGCAACTCGAGATATGCATTAATCGTATCATCACCACGAAAAGCACGTTCATGATCTCTGCCAACCAATCTTAACAGCAGACGGTGAGTGGTGGGGATAGTAAAAATTTCGAGTTGGAGGTGCCAAGGTAGTGGGAATGAAAGATATTCCTGACTATTCTTCTGACTGAAAAGCGCCTTGGAATGACTTGTTCCTGGAAGTATTATTGTTGCATTAGGGTTATGTGCTAAGCTGGTGTGATATTCGAAGCTCAATAGGGCAACTCCACACTATATCGTTTTTATTTTCAATACACGTCCTAGAGCGCTGAGCCCACTCTTGTCACTGTTATTCAGTGATATAGAGAGCCCGTCTTGGGGGTGGGGAAACCTTGTGATAGTAGGCTGTAATATGCTTTAATGGTATCATCGGCCCCGAAAAGCACGTATACATGCAGCTAGCTATGCCAACCCGTGCTTTCACTGTCAGCCAGACTATAATAGGGTGTAGTTTGGACTAACCATCAACAGTTCAGGAGTTACTCCAACTGCCCTGATTCTATTCGATATTGGTCAAGTCTGCGAGTCAAGATTACTCCTGGTTGGCGCTCCACCAGCAGATAAATAACCCTCTTCGTGAGGCTTCCGCAATAACTTGGAATACTCTCAACCGCATCTCCAGCATGTCGACAACAGTAACCTGGGTCACCCCTCCTGCCCAGGCCCCGCCGCGCCAGCCCGATATCAATTATGCCCCAGACTACGACAAGTGGCAGGCCCGCGCTGCTAGACGAGTTGCTGCCGGTGGCCTTCCCTCCAAGGTCCCTGAGGGCTTCCCCGAGCAACTTACTGGGGATCTAGTCTGGGAGGGTGAAACCGTAGCAGATACCTATGACTGGACGTACGTTTTGAGTCCTGAGCAGCTGGCCGAGATTGACGCTGCCCTGGCCCATTTCAAATGTAGGCCATAACCAACCCACTTGTCCCCTTAAACTGCTAAGTACATATGTACAGCCCTCAATCTCCCTTATGGATATATAACCCAGGAGACATTTCCCCTCCCAAAGTTGCACCCGGAACTACGGCGCCTCTCCAACGAGCTACACAGCGGACACGGATTCTTCGTCATCCGCGGCCTCAAGGTCGACGAACACACGCGCGAAGAAAATATCATCATTTACACCGGCGTATCATCCCACATAGCCGCGCAACGAGGCCGACAAGACCACAAATACAACGACGCCCCGGCAGACGTGGTGCTCACACATGTCAAAGACCTCAGCCGCTCCGCTGATAATAGCACCATCGGAAGCCCTGCCTATACAACGGATAAGCAGGTGTTCCATACTGACTCGGGGGATATCGTCTCGCTGTTTGCGCTTGAGACGGCGCTGCATGGAGGCGCGAGCAAGCTCACCAGTACATGGCGTGTGTATAATGAGATTACGCGAACAAGGCCAGATCTAATCCACACTCTCGCGGAGAGTTGGGATATGGAAGTGTATGTTATCAGCCCTAATCTCAAAAGTATTTGTCTTGGCGGGCTGTTTTAACGCGACCATGCTCTATGCGCAGATTCGAGAAGAATGCACCAAAGCCGTGGTATGAGAGGCCTCTTCTCCATCTCCTCCCAGCATCGGATACCGTCCCTCAGAGAGTATCTCTCCAATATGGGCGACGCTACTTCGTGGGGTTCGGTGCTCTCCCACGCAGCCCTAACATCCCTCCTATCAGCGAAGCCCAAGCGGAAGCACTAGACACGCTGCACTTCATTGGCGAGAAGTTCTGTGTGAATACCGAGTTCCAAAGGGGAGATATCCAGTTTGTGAATAACCTGGCCGTCTTCCATGCGAGAGACGGGTTTGTGGATAGTGCGGAGAAGCAGTAAGTTTTGCAATCAACAACGGATATAGAGCCTGAGTGGAAACTAACTTAGTTGTCTTGAATAGACGCCGCTTGCTGCGACTCTGGCTAAGAGACCCCGAGAATGCGTGGCATACGCCTCAAGTGCTTGCACCGAGATGGGCTCAGATTTACGAGGGGGTATCGCCAGAATCCGAAGTATTTCCACTGGAGCCTTTTATTCGCAGTGCAGGGAATAAGGGTCGATGATGGGCGTTGTTATATATTCTACCTTCGCAAATATATTACAAGTGACAGTTACTCTTCCCAGATGTAATAATAGGAGCGGTCACTGCCATCACTTGAACAAGAAGGAGCAACCACCTGATTAGGAAGGGACAACAACACACTTACAGAATGGCAGGAGCAGCCGGCTTCATTGCACCTGCCCTGGAACTGCGAGTTTATCATGACAAGAAGGAGCGACCGTCTAACCAAAACGACAGCAATAGGAAAGAACTACAAGGAAACAGGTAGCATAAGAGCCTTCAATAGGGGCTCCATTTTGCATTCGTCAAGTTTGTTTTATTCCAGACAGACATATGAATTAGGTCAATTTCGATCATTACGCCAAATAACTTGTAGGGGATCGGCCGTCAAACAATAATTACAAACATAGAAACAAAGTAAAGGTAAACGCTACCCTCGCTGTTCGTAAGCCTTGCGTTCCTCCTCGATCATCTCGATTGCTTCAACAAGCTCGCCTTTGGCTGCCGCGGCGTAGATTTCCAACCTTTGTCTGCCGCCATCTTCTTCGTTCCCGTACCCCATCTGGGACAACGCATTGATGCATTCATCTATCGCACGTTGCTTCTGTTGCTTCTTGGCTTCCTTATTTGTCACATGCAGAGCTGATTCTTCTGCATGTGCGTCTAGGGGTGGCGTCCACTCAGGTGCTTGCTCTTGCGGCGTTTGTGGAAACTGATGGAACGAAGCACGGTGGCGAGGACCCGTGTGTCGACCATAACCCCGAAGCGAATGGCGTTCGGTGGCCCGTCGCCTTAGCCCCGGCTGAGGCTCGAAAGGATCAAAGGACCTTTGATTCGGCCTTGGAAATCGTACGGTTGCTGCACGGCGAGGATGGAAGTGACCATGAGGATGGCGGTTATAATCCGCTTCTGTAGGGGTTTCCCGAAGGGGGGCGTTGTGCGTCTCTTGCGGAAAAGAGCCTGGTATATGATGGGGTGGACGAGTAGTACTTCCAGCAGCAGCATCCCCAGAATCTTCTGCGTTAGTGGTATCTCTGCTTCTTGGTGTGGCTGGTTGACCTGCTAACATGTGCGCATCTAACTGCGACACAGGTGGGAATCGGGCTTCCGTTTGGGCAAGCAACATATCGTGTACTGTTTCGTTGTTTGGCCTTGAGCCGCTGTTGTCGCCACGCCCAATACCCGGGTAATCATCAGCTGTATCACGACGAACAACACCTGAGGTCTGAGGCGAGGGCACAGTACCGGTATCTGAGTGCCCAGTTGTCTCGTGCGCTAGTGAGGTGATCGGGGTATGGTCAACATATTCAAGATTGATACAATGTCCATCTATAACAGCACCCTGCAGCTCTCTTAATCCCGACGTAGCTGCATCATCCGTGGGGAAGGTCAAATAGCCAAACCCTGCATGTTTGTTGGTCCTGGAATCCAAAGGAAGGTAAACATCAACCTCGAGATTTTTAGACGTAAAAACATCCTTGACCATCCTCTCGGTCACGTTAAACCCAAGATTACCAATGAACAGTGATCGGGACGGAATGGGTTCAAAATTGTGCGGTTCCGACGATGGCTGTTCAGATGCTGGTTGAGGTACAGCGCCAGAACCGGAGTTGGCAAATAAGGGGATTGGCCCGGGAGCATACCAAGGCATTGGGTATGGGCGCGCATAAGGTGCACCCCAGAAACTGGTTGGAGGAGCTTGTGGTGGGATTGTAGCTGGTGATGGTATCGGCCCGAATGGGAACGCGAATGGTGAAGTTGTGGCATCACGGGTTTGGAAGGAATTTGTTGTGGGATTACCCGGGCCGCTTGCTGGAGGGTTGTTAGGCTGAGAGTAATTGGAGAAGCCTGTAAAAAAGCTATCAGGTTGCCCTGCCCAGGCGCTTCGAACACTCGATTCGAAGGTGTCGAGTAGGCTTTGTCCTATCCCACCAAGCTGCACACCCATTTCACGAAATCCATTTAGTGCCTCAGTAGGTGTAGGAATCTCCGGAAAGCGACGAGCGTTTCCCGGGCCGTTGTCTCGCCTAATGGTCTCCGGCAGGTTGTTGAGGGCTGATACCATGGCCTTGACCTGGTCTTCGAATATTAGGAAAGCATTTCGCATAGAGTCCGTGATATCATGCGGAAGGGCCCTCCTAGCGTTCTCCATATGCCTTTCGAGCTCCGGAAGTTTCGACCTCACCCCAGAGCTGATGGATTCCGCCGCTTCGATAACACTTCGTATGGCCGAAGCAAAAGCTTCTGTTGTCTCCCGTGGAAGATCCGAGGCCGATTCGGTCTGCGGGGTCCTAGACGAGGTGTTCTCTGTGGGAGCGTGCCGCGTTTCGTTCATTATCCCGGCCATCGCAGCCTCAAACGCGGAGAGCAATGAATCGGGTGCATCGTTCCCAGTCGCATTCGCCTCGTCATTGTGGAGGTCCGACTTCTCCTCGCGAATCGTATCGGGTTCCGAGCTTCCATCACGATCATTTTGGTCATCCACGACAACTTGAGCTTCAGGCGATTCAGGGCGTGTCGCCCGATTATCAAATCCGAACTTTTTCCAAATATCTGTGACAGACTTCCTGCGTTTAATATCAAATAGATGTATAGTGGTAGGGAAATCAGTATCAGTAATTTGCGGGGGCGGCTCGTCAAGGCGCTGGGCGAGTTCGAGGGATGAGCCAACCTAAAAGAACCAGTATTAGACTGTGAAACGAAGTTATTGGGATATACGGTAGATACCGTGATGGTTTCGCCATCATCCTCATCTAGATAAGTCAACCGAGCCTGCGGATGTATATAGGCAATTTCGTCGTAATCCTCAGCAGCTAACTGCACAAGCCCATGTCGCCGCTGAGGGCCGACACTCACATCCGTAGCATTGTACAGATCGGAAGCGGTATCTTCGATGATGTCGGGGTGCTGGGAATCTTCCTCAAGATCCCTTATCAGGAACGGCTTCAACATTGTTGATAGGACGGGGTCCACTTGGACCGACAAGATTTAGTTTTCGTCAAAGAACGGCAGACCCAAGACTGTGCAAGCGAGCCAGGTGAAATAGTGATGGAATAGTGAAAGTACGAGATGAAAACGGGCGATGTAAGCTTATGGAGGAGATAGAAAGGCGGTCGTAGGAGGAGAAGGAGGGTGGCGCTGGCGACACGGAGCAGGACTGCTGCCTATGATATCGAAGGCTGTCGTTGGTCTCGTAAAGCTCCCGCTCAGACGGCAGCAAGAGGCAAATTATAGGAGCCGGTCATCGTCACACAGGGTGAAGGTGGTTCACAGGTCGGAAAAATCCAGGCAACAAGATAACTAATCTATGAAGGAGCTTTTCAGGAGCTTGAATGGATCGGGACGACTTCCTCCATTCCAGTTCTGCGAAGCTTCGATAATCAACGGCGATTGGATGTACCCCGCGTCTTTATTGGCCACTGGTGGATCAACTGATCACCGATACTGCTTTCTGGATGCCTGGAAACAGCTCAACACACTTAGATGGTTAGCATGTGCATGGCTGCTTACTTCTGATGCAGGGTCCTTTGAAACTGAAATTCTGGGCACTTTCCCTTATTTCACTTGATAAGTAATTGCAGCTTCAGGAGGCTGCTTGATTCTGACCGCATCTGCATCGCTGCTTTTAGACAAAAAACAAAGGGTAAATCACGTGATAATAACTTAAAGCGGCGAGATCCCTCCGCGCATCGGAGCTTGTATATCGCCGGCGCAAAATCGCAAAACACTTTGACAGACGCGGTGTAGTGCTCCGTTATGGCAGTTTGACCTGACCAGAGTCCGCTCTTCCACTCGTGAGACACTGTACTACATCAATCGCCAATGGACTCTCATCAAGGTTATTCCTCCCCACGAGTTCTTATCCCAACCGCGGGACCGACTACACTCGAACCTGCTTAAACACTCGATTCACCGACTTCTGCCCGTCGCCAAAAACGAACTAGAATCACATCCACGCCCAATGGCGGCTGAAGACCCCCATGCACAATCATTGACCCGCAATGTTCAGCACGTCGTTCTTGGCAATCTGCGTTTCCAAACCTGGTACCAATCCATCTACCCAGAAGGCCTCGTCAGCAAAGACACAGACACGCTCTACGTCTGCCGGTGGTGCTTTCGGTATGCATGCGATATAGGCACCCACGCAAGCCATACGAAATTCTGCCCTCACCGAACGACACCCCCAGGGGCAAAGGTCTATGACCACGGAGGCTATTCCGTTTGGGAAGTTGACGGCGCAGACTACAAACTCTTCGGGCAGAACCTCTCCCTCTTCGCGAAGCTCTTTCTCGACCATAAATCCGTATTTTTCGATGTCGTATCCTTTCTCTATTACATCCTGGTATTTACCGACCCGAATAACGATGACCCGAACGAGACATACCACATCCTCGGCTTCTTCTCCAAGGAGAAGCTCTCGTGGGACGCGAATAATCTAGCTTGTATTCTTGTCTTCCCGCCATACCAACATAAGCAGCTAGGGAAATTGCTTATGGGCGTAAGCTATAAAATCAGCGGCTGGGAACAAGATAGCAGCCTAATCGGCGGCCCAGAACGGCCGCTTAGTGAAATGGGGCGCAGGAGCTATAATCGATTCTGGGAGGAACGAATAGCGAGATATCTTGTTTCACATCCTTCTGGTGGGAACGCCACTGAACTGGCGTCGTCGGAGGTGACCAAAACTCAGAAGCCCGCCACGAATAAGGGCCGTAAGAAACATCCTCACGAACTTATGACGATTCAAGAGATTGGCCTGGCTACAGGCATGTTAACGGAAGATGTCATTACCGCATTGCGTGGTCTAGGTGCTCTTGAGCCGGCGAGCCCCTCTAAAACCCGCAAAAGGAATCAATCTAGTGCTGGAGAGAGCGATGCACCCCCGGTTGTTGTTCGAAAGTCCAAGGTACTGGAGTGGGCTAAGGCCCATAAAATTCCCATACGGGACCCTGTTAGACCCGAAGGCTCTGTTCCGCGTAATTCAGAGACGGTGGGAGGCCGGAAGATGGAGATTCCAGGTAGTGATGATGACGAGTGATGCCATTGTTTCCGCTTGCATGTTTGGCATAGCACAGGCAGCGTGATTATTGTCGAATTGTTATTTTTACAGCCTTATCAATTGTTTAACTCGTCTGTGTCTAATAATGTGGTAACTGTTCGCGCTCGCCACTCGCTACGTGCCCTTTTAAATCTTGTAGTGGTCCTCTCAAGTACAGGCAACAATAATGATTGTATCAGAATTAGATTGGTAATGTTATTTACCACTATTGAAGGTATTCAATACATTTTAGGCAGAAGCTATCCTAGAGACATCTCCTGAGTGGTATGATTTTTAGATCTATATTTTGTACGTGACCTCCTTACTCCATGCCGCCGGGCCCACCTTGTTTGCCCATCTGCCTGGCCTTCAGGAGCTCATCACAAAGGAGAAGGTTCGAGGCGATACCCGCACTGGAAGCGACACAGTTTCGCAGGACACGGAACGAGTCGAACACGCCCTCCTGCACAGGATCCATAGGCTCACCCGTAGTCAGATTCAGGCCGACAATGTTGCCATCTGCCTGCTCCTCCTGTAGCACTGCCAGGGAATCCTGGATGTCGTGGCCAGAGTTCTCGGCGAGGATCTTGGGGATGATCAAAAGAGCATCGGCAAATGCCTCGACACCCCACTTGGCCTTACCCTTGACGGATTTGCGGAATTCGTCGGAGGAAAGGTGGGCATGGCAGGCAACCTGGAAAGCTCCCGCACCAGGGATAACGCAACCATCAACGATCGTGTTGTACACTGAGCGAAGACCGTCCCGAACGGCATCCTTAACCTGTGCGATAGTGTGTCCGTTGGGGCCCTTGATAAGCAGAGTCACGGACTTAGGGTCCTTGACCTCCTCAACGAATGTGTATTTCTCCTCTCCGAGCTGGTGTTCGTAGACAAGTCCAGCCCACCCAAGGACATCGGGAGTGAGATCCTCCACACTGTTTTGGGCGATACCTCCGCAAATAAGCTGGAGACGCTCCATGTTTCTGCGCTTAGCTCTTCGAAGAGCCATAATACCGTTCTTCACCAAGACGTCCAAGCTCAGGGGGTCAATTCCCTTCTGGTTGATGATAACAAAGCTCTTCTTAGGGTCGTCTCCGCAGACCTGCTTCTTAAGTTCCACAATCTTCTGTAGCTTCGAATCCACAAATTTGCGCTCACTTTCCACAAGCTTATCCCTCTGCTCGGCGGATGAATAGTAGAATCCGGAGTTAATTTCTGACTTCTCGTACTCGAGACTGACATTAAGGGTAAGGATAAAGGCGTTTTCGACTCGCTTCGGCATATCGGGGTGTCTAGCGCCGTGGTCTAGTGCAAGACCACGGATAAGCTGTGTGTCAGAAGAAGTGCGGTGCTGCATGGTCATGATCTCAACCATGTGCAGATCGGGCTTCTCCGGAGCTCGGTGAATAGCAAGTACGGCATCGACGATGTCGGGTGTGAGTTTTTCGGCGAGCGCGCCGTTCAACTTTGTGCTAAGCGATGTTCGAGCAACGGAAAGAAGGAGCTCGCGGTCAATTGCCCGTTCGATCTTGAATTTGTCGAGAAACTGTTCACCGCATCGATTAGTGTTGCTCAGACCACCGGTATGTCCATATTCCTTACCTTCAGAGCTTCGTCCTTCGCGATCTCATAACCGTCCGTGATAACTCTGGGATGTAATCCTTCAGAAATATGACGGTCCGCCTGTCTCAGAAGTTCTCCGACCAGCAATACGACCGAGGTCGTTCCGTCACCTGTGATATCATCTTGAGCGGTAGCAGCACGAGCGATCATGACCTTTGTGGTGATTAATATGCGAGAGTGTCGTCAAAAGGAAAGGAAGGTCTTACGGCCGTGGGGTTTTGGATTTGCTGCTTTTGTTAGCTACTTCTTCAAAAAACGCGGGGGTCCAAAATTCAGCTTACCATCTCTCGCAGCAGAACGTTTCCATCCTTCGTCAACTTGATCTGTTTCGAGAACTGTTAGAGGTTGCTATTGTTTCCAATGGGACTGATAATTCGTACACCACCAGAACCATCCACCAGCCTAATATTTGTTAGCTTGGAGCCAATTTGGAATTCGAAGCCTTGAGACATACATCTTCAAGGTCCCGGACGGACCGAGATTCGACTTCAGCACATCCTGAAGACCCTCACCAGCACTGATGTTCACCTTCAAGGCCTCCGCTCTCCGCTGTACCCTGTTAGTCTCTGCACAGGCACTGAGGGGCATTTCTCCATACCCTCGACTCCGCCTTGGGGTTCAGCAGCTGCGTTGCCGACATATCTGCAGAAAAAAGAAACAAGAAGCAGATATATCCAGGAGAAGGTTACAGAACAAAGAGAACGAGAATAGATAGAAAAGGGCTCGCTGCTGCGAAAGTGTAGCCGCACACCCCGTAGTGGTAGCCGTCGAATGCGGTGAGCGCGTGGTTTTGGCAAAAAGCCCACATTCGGGAATCTTACTAGCGCCGGGTGTGAAAAAAAAAGAGCTCCGACGATTCGACTCTGCAAATCTACCCTCGAGGCACTTTTGTCAATTCCCACGCCGGCCGACAGCAGGTCTACAGCCTCAGAGTTCTGCGAAAGTTAAAGGGGGATCCGATTAAACACTTCTGATCGTGCTATATATTTTAGTACTGCAGGCTTTTACCCACTTTCGCAATGGCCGACTTCATTCTTTTCGAGGGCCCTATGGGTTACTCGCTTTTCAAGGTCGCCCACAAGGGTGATTCCGTGGGACATAACCTGAAGGAGGTTCAGGAAGGTGTCGATGACCTGGCTTCGTTTGGCAAGATGGTCCAACTTTCCAGTTTCTTGCCCTTTGAGTATGCTCTTTAGTCTCGCTTCTGTGCGCTCCGCGACTGACCAATCCGTAGGAACAACAAGCAGGCTTTGAGCGAAATCAACGATATTTCAGAGGGTGTCGCTTCTGAAACGCTTGTCTCTTTCCTTGAAATGAATCTTCCCAAGCCGAGCAAAAAGAAGAAGGTTGTTCTGGGACTCGCGGATAAAAACTTGGCCACCAGCATCAAGTCAGCATTCTCTTTCGTCGACTGCGAAACCGGTGATACCAGCGAGGTTGTCCAGGATATGCTCCGCGGCGTTAGACTCCATGCTAGCAAATTGCTGAAGCAACTGCGAGAGGGCGATATGGACACTGCTCAGCTCGGTCTTGGTCACGCCTACTCTCGCGCTAAGGTTAAGTTCTCTGTTCAGCGCGACGACAACCACATCATCCAGGCCATTGCTATCCTTGACCAGCTCGACAAGGCTGTCAACACTTTCTCCATGAGGGTGCGAGAATGGTACTCTTGGCACTTCCCGGAACTCATCAAGATCGTGTCAGACAACCAACGATACGCTCAGCTTGCCCTTTTCATCAAGGACAAGAAGAGTCTGACCGACGAGAGCCTGCATGACGTTGCCGCCCTGGTGGAAGATGACGAGGGTGTTGCCCAGAGCATCATCGACGCCGCTAAGCGCAGTATGGGTCAGGATATCTCAGAATCCGACATGGAGAACGTTGTCTCCTTCGCGCAACGAGTCGTCAGCCTTTCCAAATACCGCAAGTCTCTCCACTCCTACCTGGTTTCCAAGATGAATGTGGTCGCTCCCAACCTTGCTGCTCTGATTGGAGATATCGTTGGTGCTCGCCTTATCTCTCACGCTGGAAGCTTGACCAACCTGTCCAAGTACCCCGCTTCCACAGTCCAGATTTTGGGTGCTGAGAAGGCTCTTTTCAGAGCCTTGAAGACCAAGGGAAACACTCCCAAATACGGTCTTTTGTACCACTCTTCCTTCATTGGCAGGGCTGGTCCCAAGAACAAGGGCCGCATTTCCCGTTTCCTGGCCAACAAGTGTTCCATCGCCTCTCGAATTGACAACTTCAGTGAGGAGCCCACAACAAAATACGGCGATGCTCTCAAAAAGCAGGTTGAGGAGCGCCTTGAATTCTACGCGTCCGGTGCCCCACCGACTAAGAACGAAGTCGCTATGGTATGTCTACCTGCCTTGAATTCCATACAAACCAACCCCCTTTTGTATACTCGAATAAGTAAGATAACTAACCATCACTAGAAAAACGCTATGGACTCTGTCTTGGCTGGTATGGACGTTGATGGCGACGACAGCGATGCCGAGATGAAGGATGTCGACGAGAAGAAGGAAAAGAAGGAGAAGAAGGAAAAGAAAAAGGAGAAGAAGGACAAGGGCGAGAAGGAAGAAAAGAAGAAGAAGCGCAAGTCCGACGCCGGCGAGTCGGAAAAGAAGAAGCGGAAGCACGACACCGATGCAGAGCCTTCCAAGAAGAAGAAGAAGGTCTAAAGACACTATTTCTTGGGACAGGAGGGCGTCTTATCCCGGCGTTGTAGGGTTGCTTTATTCTTTTTTCTTTGGTTTTCCCATTGTCTGTTTCAGTTTGTTCCTACATGATCTGATGGGCTTTATATTTCTGTAAATTATGCGATTTAGGCCAACGCCTTCCAAAACTTGGGTTTCAGCTACAGAATATTACCTTTGAATCTTCTATTTTTGTCCCACATAAACCTGACTGCGAACAGCCCGGAACCTTCTCGGGCGGAAAACTGGCGTCCCCTCTTCAACGGAGACACACCCCCAGCTGATTGTGCCTTGCTTCCTCACTGAGCCTACAATGGAGAGACTATTCCTGCCCCTGTTTCTTTGCTCTTCAAAACGATGCTGTTACTTATTGAAAGACATTTGTAGGGGGTGAAGTTGCGCTTAAATAGGATGCTCGTCTCATCAGTGCCCCTCAGCAGTCTCAGCCCCGCGACGATGATGGCACCGAAGTTGTCATTGCAGTTCAACTCCTCATTTGACGGGCAAAAATCGCCTGAAGTGCTGAGTGACTTTGACCAGTCCACGTCCCCAGAATCCAGTCCCTCCATCGTCAGTCCTCACGAAACCAAGGCCCAAGACTGGGGGGACCATGGAAGATACAGTCCTCGAGCGGTGGTAGCTAGCCGCTTTGGTGAACTGGCAATACGGGGCGATTTCCAGCTCCCCGATCGCAGTCTCCACCAAGCCAACCTTCCTCCTTTTTACCAGACAAATGGCTTTTCAACACAATATTCTGGTCTTCATGGCGCTCATGACATGAACGAGTTGGCCCCTTCAGCAGAAATACAGCGCCATTCCCCACATCCAACTTCGCTTGACGACCATGGTCCTCCTACCTCGGACTCAGTCGCCAATGCTGAGTTCCATCCGCAACCAGCAGAATCAGTGAGAAATTCAAAACAACTGTCTAAAAACCCACGGAAAACGAAGCGAAGTACGAGTGTTCCTGCATCTATAAGGGCGGCAAGAGAACGCAGCTCCTCACCATCACTTCCTGGAGATCCGGAGCATGATTTACTCACTTGGAGCGACTCCGAAATAACCGGCCACATTCCAACGGATCCTGACGATGATGGGTATGGGATCAACGGTATAGGCTTTAAGCCCACTGCAGCGATTGCTTGGTCTCGATCGCAGAAAAGACAGAAGCAAGTTGCAGAATGGAAGAGCCGAGAAGCAAAAGAAGCGCGGGAGAGGCGAAGAGAACGGCGGGTTGGCAACGACTTAGATAAGTTACGAACGGTTCAGTCAGGCTCTATACAAAAGAAGGTCAAATTCGACGTTTGAACAATTTCTTCCACCGAGGTTTTTTTGGGATTCTTCTTTTCTATCATTTATATGGCCGGCGGACTTTTGGCATACGGTACAAAGGCGTTCAACAGCGGCGATACTTTTGGTCAGTCATAACGAGAGCAGGCTCTTGAATCTTGAATTAAGCAGATTGGCGTTTAGGATTTAAGGGCTTTATATACATTATAAAAGTACATCCCAACATAATATACAACATGGGTCAAACTCCGTGACTCAATGCAAAGTGTAAACAAAAGCTCTACCAGAACTTGTAGTTTGCTAAATTCGTCCAACTCTTGCGTTTCCTCTCTTCTTCCGCTACGCGGGCAGCCTCTGCAACCTGCTGTTCCTTCTCACGCTGCTTTTTAATCTTCAACTCCTTCATCAGTTCCACGGCTTGTTTCATTCCGTCCAATTCTTGTATCCGGCGGCGTTGGCAGAACTCATGCGCTGCGAGAGACGTGATAGCGAAGATACCGACAGCCCAATTACAAGCAGACCATATAGAACGCATTCCTGTACAAATTTAAAGGTTAGACTCAGTCAATCCAACCCATATAATAGCATTTGAGTATATTTACCTCCTAGAACACCCCTCACCCCGCCAACACCGAAACCAGCGCCAATGCCGAGTAGCAAAGAGTCGCGCGCACATGGCGCTTTGTAGAACGAGGCCGCATCTTTCATCGACATGGATTTCATAGCCTCCGTGACCGAAACATCATTCGCTTTCTTTCCAGACGCCGTTGGCAGCACGTTCGCTGACTCTTCCGGGTTCCCGAATGCTTCCCATAATTTGCCAACTTGCGACTGTGAACGCTCATACTTTGGTTTCGACTTCGATGATTGCTCCGAGGGTTGCTCACCCACATATTGGGTCGGGGCGGGCTCTGTATTTTGTCGTGTATCATCAGCCATATTGGATTGTCCTGTTGATCGTGGAAATCGCCGGCGAAATCGACCGATATGTACTCTTGCCTTTTTCCGCAACAATCATGATAATGCGGATCATTGTTCATCCGATCGGCTGTCTAGTTGCCCGAAACGGTGTGTTCTGCCGGCGGTCACGTTACTTCAGCCAATCATACGGCACGCGTATAGTAGAACGCGAAACGCGTCGGTCTTGCCGCGGAGGCCCTTTGATGGGTTCTGCTGTCTGCATGCTCCGCTGGGCTCAGTCGAGACCCATTAGATATTGACGACCACTCTTTCGCCCATTCTCTCCAAGCAAAAGCCTCTCGAGACCCGACTCAAGTCCCTGATCTCTCACCTATTCGTACCGCGTTCGATGTTCCACCAATTCTCGCCCTTCATCCTGCACTGATCCTCAGCTGCTGAGGCCATTTCGCAATGCCTTCGCGAAAACCGAGCAAGTATGGCAACAAATTCCGGTCAGGTGGTGCATCGTTCAACCCGAAAAGAACAAAAACCGTGGAATTCTCCTCCCTCCGATCCTCAGAAGCAACGTCTCAAGATGAAAAATTCGAGGCGATCCGGCTTGCGAACAGCATAGATGAGGCGCTGGGCTTCCCGCGCTTCGAAGCTGGCGAGAAGAGAGCCGGGTGGCTTATCAATATGCATAGCACGTCAATAGAGGACTCGAATGTCCCGGGAGGTCGCGCTGGTGTGGATTACTATTTTCTTGAGGACAATGGAGGCAGCTTCAAAGCGACGGTGGAATACGACCCATATTTCCTCATCGCAGTCAAGTCGGGCCACGAGGCAGAGGTTGAAGAATGGTGCCGGAGGATGTTTGAAGGCCTCATAAAGAAAATCAAGAAGTTAGAGAAGGAGGATCTCAAGCTTCCGAACCATCTGCTTGGACACCAGAGGCCCTTTCTTCAGCTGGAGTTCACTAACGTCAGCCATCTTCTTGAAGTACGGAAAACTCTTTTGCCTCTGGCAGAGAAAAACAAGAAGAACGTCAATATGATGGATACTTATGTTGAGATCTCGAAGTTGGTCTTTCAAAATACCTTAAATTGTGGCATGAGCTAACTTTGTCCAGTGCAAACTCTGGATTCGATCTCTTTGATGACGAACTAATTAATGATGCACGACCTAATGGCAGCACTAATGCGAGTGATTTTATAATTGATATTCGAGAATATGATGTTCCATACCATGTTAGAGTGGCAATTGATAAAGGTAAGCAACCCTCCAACTATATGCGAAATAACGGCTAATAGGTTTTCCGTTTAAGATATACGGATAGGAAAATGGTACACGGTAGAGGCGAAACACGGCGTTATTTCATTAACTTGCTTGGAAGAGCGACTTACAAGAGCGGATCCTGTGGTTCTCGCGTTTGATATTGAGACAACGAAGCTACCGCTCAAGTTCCCCGACTCTGTGATCGACCAGATTATGATGATATCCTACATGATCGACGGCCAGGGATTTTTAATTACCAATCGGGAGATAGTGTCGGAAGATATTGAGGACTTCGAGTACACTCCTAAACCCGAATACAACGGACCCTTCATGATCTTCAACGAGCCTGATGAGCGGAGCGTTCTCGAACGGTTCTTTGAACACATACAACAAGCCAAACCGACTGTCATCGCCACATACAACGGTGACTTTTTCGATTGGCCTTTCGTTGAAGCTAGGGCAAGCGTTCTAGGTATCGACATGTACAGAGAGATTGGGTTCCGAAAAAACAGCGAAGATATCTATGTCAGCGACCACTGCGCACATATGGATTGCTTCGCATGGGTCAACCGTGACAGTTATCTTCCACAAGGTTCTCGTGGTTTGAAGGCTGTCACCGTTGCGAAGCTCGGGTATGACCCTGATGAACTCGACCCGGAACTCATGACTCCCTATGCAAGCGAACGACCGCAAACATTGGCTGAATATTCAGTTTCCGATGCCGTCGCTACGTATTATCTGTACATGAAATATATTCACCCCTTCATCTTCTCTCTTTGCACGATTCTCCCTTTGAACCCGGATGATACCCTGCGCAAAGGAACTGGTACCCTCTGTGAGATGCTTCTGATGGTCCAAGCATATAAGGGCAATATTATATTGCCGAACAAACATAAGGACCCGCCGGAAGCCTTCTACGAGGGTCATCTTCTCGAGTCTGAAACGTATGTTGGTGGACACGTCGAGAGTATCGAGGCTGGAGTGTTTCGAAGTGACATTCCTGTTCCTTTCAATGTCGACCCGACGGCCGTGGACGAACTACTTCGTGATCTTGACGCTGCCTTGAAGTTCAGTATCGAAGTCGAAGAGAAGAAGTCCCTAGACGATATCGCCAACTATGAAGAAGTCAAAGGACAGATTTCCAAACTTCTCATCGACCTACGAGACAATCCTCAAAGAAACGAAGTCCCTTTCATTTACCATTTGGATGTCGCTTCCATGTATCCAAACATCATGATCACAAATCGACTTCAGCCTGATTCGCTAATTCAGGAGTCGAATTGTGCTGCGTGTGATTTCAATCGTCCTGGTAAGACCTGTGATAGACGTTTGCCATGGGCTTGGCGAGGTGAATTCCTTCCAGCAAAGCGTGACGAATACAACATGATCCGGCATGCTGTCCAAAATGAACGTTTTCCTGGGAAAACGAAGAAGGCCCCGATGAGGGCGTTTTCTGAGATGAGCGCCGACGAACAAGCGGCCATTGTCAAAAAGCGTCTTCAGGACTACAGCAAAAAGATCTACCATAAGATCCACGACAGCAAGACAATGGTAAGAGAGGCCATTATCTGCCAACGGGAAAACCCCTTCTATGTGGACACTGTGCGTAGCTTCCGTGATCGAAGATACGATTTCAAAGGCAAGCAAAAAGTATGGAAGGGCAAAACCGACTCCCTGAAGTCGTCAGGTGCTCCATCCTTGGAGGTGGAGGAAGCGAAAAAGATGATAGTTCTATACGACTCTCTTCAGCTTGCCCACAAGGTTATCCTTAACAGTTTCTACGGTTATGTCATGCGAAAGGGTTCCCGATGGTACTCTATGGAGATGGCCGGTGTCACTTGTCTGACTGGTGCACGTATCATTCAGATGGCCAGAGAGCTTGTTGAACGGATAGGACGACCGCTCGAACTTGACACAGATGGTATCTGGTGTATGCTTCCAGGAACATTTCCTGAGAATTTCTCATTTACACTCAAGAATGGCAAGAAGCTGGGTATATCTTACCCATGTGTTATGTTGAATCACCTTGTCCACGGAAGTTATACAAATCACCAATACCAGGCCCTCTCAAACCCGAAAACCTTCAAGTATGAGACGCACAGCGAAAACTCGATCTTCTTCGAAGTCGATGGACCTTACAGAGCAATGATCTTGCCCACGTCCAAGGAGGAAGACAAGAACCTAAAGAAGCGTTACGCTGTTTTCAATGACGATGGCTCATTGGCAGAGTTGAAGGGTTTCGAGGTCAAGCGGCGAGGAGAACTCAAATTGATCAAGATCTTCCAGACTCAGATCTTCAAATTCTTCTTGGAAGGATCAACGCTTGCGGAGACCTATGGTGCAGTAGCTCGCGTGGCTGATAGATGGTTGGACGTTCTCTATGAGCATGGGTCTACACTAGCTGATGAGGAACTTATTGAACTTATTTCCGAAAATCGAAGCATGACAAAAACGCTCGAAGAATACGGAAATCAAAAGTCGACATCCATCACAACCGCGCGGCGTCTGGCAGAATTCTTGGGGGAGCAAATGGTCAAGGACAAGGGTCTAAATTGCAAGTACATTATCTCAGCAAGACCTAGGAACACACCTGTCACAGAACGGGCAATCCCAGTGACCATATTTTCCGCTGAAGAGAGTATCAAGCGCCACTTCTTACGAAAGTGGCTCAAGGACGACCCTGGTGATATGGACCCTCGAAGCGTGATTGACTGGGACTACTACCTGGAACGATTGGGATCCGTCGTACAGAAGCTTATCACAATCCCAGCTGCTCTTCAGAAAATCCGCAATCCTGTTCCTAGGGTTGCCCACCCAGAGTGGCTACAGCGAAGAATCAATAAACAGGATGACAGATTCAAACAGGTGAAGATGACCGATATGTTTGGGAAATCCGAAAAGAATCCATTGGTCGATATATCGGCCAACATCCTTGATCACCGGGTTCAACATGCGGACAATCTGGATGAAGCAATGGCGAGTTCAATGGAAAAGCTCAAGTCCTCGTCTCCGCACAAACTGTCTGGAAAGCGAAAGCACCCCGAGAGTCAACCAAAGACATCGCTGGATCCGTTTGCTAGTCTTCCCGCAAAGATGCCGTCCATGTCAGATGACTACGTTAGTTTCTTGAAGTACCAAAAGCAAAAGTGGAAGATTCAAAAGCAAGCCCGACTTCGCCGCCGACAGCTCTTTGGTGAAAAGGGCAATACCGGAGGAGATTCTCTGAGCCACCTTTTCAGAAACCAGGCTGAGCTGCTTTATATCAGTACATGGCAAGTTTTGCAACTTGCTGAAACAACCAGACCTGGGATTGTGCGGGCATTTGTTTTGATCGACCGCAAAATCCATGCTTTAACAGTCAAAGTTCCCCGATGTATTTACATCAATCTGAAGCAGGACTCACTCCCCGATGTCGATGTTCCAGAATGCGAGGTTGAAAAGGTCAATCACACATTACCGAATGGGCACCCTTCAGTCCATCTGTTCAAACTTACTCTGTCGGAAGAGACTTTCCTACGCGAGGCAGAGAAGATTGACGCTCTTTTGCAACATCCGAGTGTTGAGGGAGTCTACGAGAGAAACATTCCTCTAAACCTTCGGGCAGTACTGAAGCTCGGCAGCATTTGCACATTTGATGAAGGACAGCGAGGTGTGCTTGGAGAAGGACTGGATCGCGGATTCGACCTCTCGACATTATGCCGTACGGCTTCGGAGCAAACATATCTCCAAGACTCCCATCTGGGGTATCATTATCTCTATCATGTTTCATCTGGCGATAAGCAAATATTTGCTATCTTCTCGAGCACGAAGAATGAAGCACACATTGTCATCCTTAACCGTGCAAGAGACGTCCAAGGTCTTCCGAATGTCGACAAGATTTACTCGGAGCTTCTCTCCCGCAAAATGCAAGATAAGTCAACGGATCAGGCCGATGGGGCTTTCGAATATCAAGAGAAGATTCACTTCAGAACCACCCAGATCACAACAAGGAGAAAGGCGTACTTGGAAGTGGGTGATTTGATCAAAAAGCTTCGGAGCGATGAAACACTGCCGGCTGTTATGATAATACAATCTCAGCATAGAAATCGCCTTTGTCATGATATCCCGATCTTGAAGGAATACCCAATTATCCCGGTAAAGCCAGAAGTCTCGGATATGAATCTGCCCCCATTGGGGTGGCAGTCTTTTATTGCCAGGAGACTGGTGACACACTATCTTTATCTGTCATCCTGGGTGCAACACCTCACAATGCTCGCTAGATACGGTGATGTCCCACTTTGCAACCTCGAGAGTGACGATCCACGATTCCTGATTGATATCTCATACGCTAGGCGGCTTCAACAAAACAATGTTGTTCTATGGTGGTCGACAAACGCGAGGCCCGACCATGCGGGATATGAAAAGGATGACATTACCGGCCCGCTAGAAAGGGTTAGCATGCCATCCATTAACGTTCCCAACTCTTATACCACCGTATGCGTCGAGCTAGAAGTTCGTAACCTCGCCATTAACACGATCCTCACTTCATCTATAATCAATGAGATGGAAGGAACCGACTCACTCCTTGCTCCGTCCGAGCCATCAGCGGAAGGGAGTGGCTCTGGTGTTCTTTACTCTGAAAAGGCATTTGCGTCGGCTGGTGCAGGTGTGCTACGTGAGATGGTAAAGCACTGGTGGTCCGAGGCCTGCCAAGGGAATAACATGGCAGACATCATGGTGCAGCATTTGATTCGATGGGTGGAGAGTCCGGCGTCATGTCTTTACGACCGTTCGTTGCATCAATATGTGCGGATGTTGTCGAGAAAGTCTTTCCAGCAGCTCATGGCTGAATTCAGACGCGTCGGCTCGAATGTCATTTTCGCGAGCTCTACACGTCTCCTGCTTCAGACTTCAAAGACGGAGGTGGGGAACGCCTACGCGTACAGCCAGTACGTGCTGAAGTCGATTCGGGCAAACCCATCGTTTCACTTCATTGATCTTGATATCAAGGAATATTGGGACTATCTTGTTTGGTATGATGAGTACAACTATGGCGGCAAGGGGTGTCAAGAAGTTGTGGAGGCGGACGAACAGCCGCTGGAGACCGTCATGCACTGGCAACTTAGCCGGTTCCTGCCAATGCCCATGCAAACTATATTCCATGACTGGGTTGTGGAATACCTTGAGCTGATGCACGGCTTCAAGCGACCAGAAACCGATGATTCATCTACTCCACGCATGACCCAAATCCCTCTCACGCGGGAAAACGGCGAGGTGAATGAAGAACTCTCGGCTGTTCTCGCAGACAAGTTTTCCAAGCCCCTGAAGAAACAAATTTCTGGTCTCATCCGGCGTCAGCGGGAAGAACTGCTACACCCCGAACTGGCCTCCGATTACGTCTTCCCAGTTCTCCCAGGTGTCTTAACAGATCCCAATGAAGAAAAGCGCAACCCCGTCCTCGAACTAGTTAAACTTCTAATGCAGGTCTTGAGTCTATCCAAGACGACAGCGCTCGAAACTCGTCTATTACGGCGCGAGTTGCTCGCACTTTTCGAAGTCCGGGAATTCAGCAAAGAAGGACGCTTCGAGAATCCAGGAAATAGCCTCAAAATCCCGGAGATTACGTGCAGTGCCTGCTGCTTAATCCGCGACCTAGACTTGTGCCGCGATGAAGACGTGCTTCCCGAACCTGGGAATGATAGTTCAAACACGTTGTCAAGGCCATGGCGCTGCCCATTCTGTCAGACCGAGTATGATCGCCTGGCGCAAGAAGAGATGCTGATCGGCGAAGTGTACGGCATGATTGTTGCCTGGCAAACGCAGGATCTCAAGTGCTCAAAGTGTGGGACTCTTAAGGTCAGCGAATTCATGGAGCATTGCTCGTGCAGCGGCAAGTGGGCAGAAACCATGGATCGCGGCGATATCGAAAAGAGGTTGCGTGTTCTAAGCAGTGTTGCGAAGTTCCACGAACTCAAGCTGCTGCAGAATGTTGTCGAGGAGGTTCTCAGCCACGTTTAGTCTCTGTTCTTTAGCTAATCTGGCGTTGAATGTGTTCATTTGTATAGCATGGTTGGTGACACTGGCGTTTATGGGCGCAACATTATCATATTACTTGTGTAGTTTAGCCGGTATATAAACCTCAATCTATTGAATCTGAATTCAACTGCGAAACTGCGGATTGTCCCGTAATTCCAAAGTATCCCAGGCACTGAAGCCCACGGCCCGGTAGCATCAGGGCTTGTATAATCCGCCACATACATGACCTGGAATTGCAAAAGCCATCTCTGACTAGGCCCAAGCCAGCTTCTAGCTCTTGTCCAGCATTTCTTCAAAACGTACTAACCGCGAAGACATACCGGTGGAGTCGGAACTTGGCCGATCCAACACTGGAAACACCTAACTTAAGGCCGAGGAGATACAGAGAAGGCATAAGGTGGACCGTAAGAAGCACGACATAGACTATTTTGGTTTATTCAGAGCCCTCCAGGATTAAGTGGCGACTGGAACCCTTTGTGTCAACTAACTGCAGTGGGCGCAATTAGTATACGCAGGTTGGTCCCTGCTTAGCGTGTAGCTGGCCAGTACGTAACAAGAATCCGTCAACAGAGAGCATATACTCTATTCTGGCCATTTATTTATCTGAAAATAGATAATATACTGGGAAAATAAACTATAGTATCCCAGCATACTACAATATCCGGTGTTTTCTTGCATATTCTCGTTCTCGTGGAAATCTGTTAGGTGGGACGTTGCAGCAGCTCCGCGGAGATGTACTCCGCAAAACACAGGGTCTGTTGTATTGTATGAATTTAGCTCCTCGCACGCCATTATATACCTCCTAGTGTATGGTATCATCTGCATTCATTTGCACGTATTCAATGAGCGAGGATAAAACTCGGGCAGGGCTCGCTTGCCAAGATGTTTTGGCAATTGCACGGCAGACTTCGAAATCATGGCAGAGAAGCCAACTCCTGAGGACTCGATCGCCTCCAAGGACCAGGTCCACGAATCGGTCTCTGAGAAACTTGGGACCCAAACATTGCATCATAGGAAGGGCGATGCGTTTGTCGGCGGCGGTGCTACAGAGCTCTATGAGCCGATTCCTGAATATGAAGGGAGACATCGGTATGACCCCGGTGCTGAGTGGACGGAGAAGGAGGAGAAGCGGCTGGTCAGGAAGGTTAGTATCTTTATCTCGTGTTTTCTAGTGCACTCCGAGCTAAGCTACGTCTTGTAGCTCGATTACCGCATCTGTTCCTGGGTCTGTTTGATGTTCTTCGCTCTGCAGCTCGACCGGGGCAACATCTCCCAGGCATTGAGCGACGGCATGCTGGACGACCTCGGATTATCGACAAACCAGTATAACTACGGCATGATGGTCTTCTATCTCTGCTTTCTCTGCGCCGAAGTCCCCTCGCAGATGATTTCCAAGAAACTCGGGCCCGACGTCTGGATCCCCATCCAGATGATGACATGGAGTGTTATTGGGATACTCCAGTGTCTGATAACAGGAGAGAAAAGCTTCTATGCGACTCGGGCCTTGCTGGGTCTGGTAGAAGGCGGCTTTATCCCGGATGCGCTACTCTACTTGTCCTATTTTTATACGAACAGGGAGCTCCCGATGCGCGTGGGCCTTTTCTACTGCTCTTCGCACTTTACGTTCATTGTTGCCGCGTTTTTGGCTTATGGTATACTCCATATGCGTACGATTGGCGGATGGGAGGGCTGGAGGTGGCTGTTTGCCTTGGAGGGGGCTCTGACAGCCATAATCGGTTTTGTATCGTGGTTCTATCTTCCCCCAAGTCCGACTCAGACTGCCAGTTGGTTCCGGGGCAGAGATGGCTGGTTCTCAGAGAGAGAAGAGGTCATCATGGTCAATCGAGTGCTAAGAGATGATCCAGGCAAGGTACGTCCATCCGTCAAATGATGTCTATTGAGATGCTTTGGTCGACAGGACAACTAACAACGCGTCCTCCAGGGAGGGATGCACAACCGTCAAGGCCTGACTCTGAAGCTACTCTGGGCTTCGCTCACCGACTACGATCTATGGCCCTTGTACGCAATCAGCTTCACGTTGCTGATTCCGACAAACCCTGTCACGGCGTATTTGACTCTCAATCTGAAATCCCTTGGGTTTGACACCTTCGAGACCAATCTCCTGACGATTCCAGCATATGTGCTGTTCCTGATCCAACTTGTATTCTGGTCCTGGATCTCAGAAAAAATCAACAACAGAATGGCGGTTGTCATGTTCTATTCCATATGGTGTTTGCCTCTGCTCCTGGCGCTGGAACTGCTGCCGTCCACCGCGAGTCCCTGGAGCTGGTATGCTCTCACTGTGCTCTTGATAGGTTTCCCATATATCCACTCCATCAACGGTAAGCCAGGAATATCTACTAAATGAAGATTTTATTCTAACAATCCCCCAGTCAGTCTCACATCGCGCAACGCCGGTACGGTGCGGACACGGACAGTCGGCAGCGCAGTGTATAACATGATCTGCCAGGCGAGCTCTATTATTTCCTCGAATGTAAGTACACAGTTGCTACAGTATACTTTTCTCGGCATCACTAACTCAAGTAGATCTATCGCGAGGACGACAAACCCCACTATAGGCGAGGAAACAAGGTTCTCCTTGCGCTTGTGGCCTGGAACATTGTCATGACAGTTTTCATCAAGGTCTACTACGTTTGGCGGAACAATTCTCGAGACCGGGTCTGGGATGCGATGAGTTCCCAGGAGAAGGACCACTATTTGCGGACGACGAAGGATGAGGGGAATAAAAGGCTGGATTTCCGGTTTGCGCATTGATAGATATACAATGGTGCTATATATAGACGACCATGACTGTCGGAACCGAGGCAGACCGAAATTATATATATATATATATACATATACAAAAGTTTATAGACCTAAAAAACCAAATGTCCTTCCAGCACATTATGATCCGGGTGAATAATAGTGAATTAAAATAATGCAAGCTTTGAAACAGCCCCGTAGGCATCTGTATAAAGGGTGGCAGAGTTGCCGCGACGATCACTGGCGCACTCAGCCCGGTTCCGATCACTTTGTCTGGCCGACCGTCGCTTCTCCCTCCGCACTCTCCTCCTTGTCGTCGACGGGACCCTGTTCTGACCTTCTTTTCTATTTTTTTTCCCTATCACTTTTAGTACTTTGTGACTGGTAGAGGTTCGAGACTCCGAACCGCCAGTCCGGACTGTCCCCTCGCATCGAAACCCCGCAGTCGCTTGGCCGATCCGATAGCAAAGTAAGGTAGGTAAGCTTCACCGAAAATCTCCCACGCTCTTGGAACTCTCCCGTTTGCGCCTGTCTATTTAGAGGCTAGGCCTTGGAAACATTGGGCCGGTTTCCCTTACAAATCTAACCCTCATCGCCGCTGCTACATCGTTGCGCTGGTTGCGCCGTCTATTCCTTGAATCTGACCAGTCATTTTGAGACAGAAGCGAACGCAATATATCCTCAGTCTGACTCTTTCCCGAAACCTGATCTCCGGTACTGCTGCTCCTCCGGAATGGCCACCCAACCCCAGCCGGGCCAGAAACCCAAAGTCCAACCATGCCGGTACAAGACCGGAAAGACCCTCGGAGCGGGCTCCTACTCGGTCGTGAAGGAATGTGTACACATTGACACCGGTCAATACTACGCCGCGAAGGTGATAAATAAGCGACTGATGGCTGGACGTGAACATATGGTATTTTCCTCGCCCAAAGGCTGCCGCTCATGGCCGATTGTCCAGAGGCCGATAATTGCGGATGGGCTCCAGAACGTCGGCTAAGGCGGATACAGGTTCGGAATGAGATCGCAATCCTGAAGAAAGTTTCAATGGGCCACCAGAATATCCTGACCCTGGTTGATTACTTCGAGACGATGAATAACTGTACGGCTCCCACCAGTGCTGGTTTCCATATGGCTGCCTAGAACTCTGCGCTAACGGTTCGCCTTTTTGCTGCAGTATACCTTGTCACGGATCTTGCATTGGGCGGGGAGCTATTTGATCGTATTTGTCGCAAGGGAAGCTACTATGAATCTGATGCTGCTGACCTTATTCGCGCTATCCTGTCTGCTGTCGCATATCTGCATGACCATGGCATTGTACATCGCGATCTAAAGCCGGAGAACCTGCTTTTCCGCACCCCCGAGGATAACGCAGACTTGTTAATCGCGGACTTTGGTCTATCGCGAATCATGGACGAGGAACAATTGCACGTCCTCACCACGACATGCGGTACTCCGGGATACATGGCCCCCGAGATCTTCAAGAAGAGCGGCCACGGAAAGCCTGTGTATGTCTCTACCGTCCCCAAATACCATCCCCATGAAATGCCAGCGACTAACTGTAATACAGCGACATCTGGGCTGTTGGGGTAATCACCTATTTCATGCTCTGCGGATACACTCCTTTCGACCGCGACTCCAATCTCGAAGAGATGCAGGCCATTCTCGAGGCTTCATATTCATTCACGCCCGTGGAGTATTGGCGCGGCGTATCTGTTGAAGCCCGAGAATTCATCAAAGCCTGTTTAACAGTCAACCCACAAGCCCGTCTAACAGCCCACCAAGCCTTGCAACACCCCTGGGTGAACCCGCCATACGACCCACAGGCTCAGAACGAGGCCCAAGATCTTCTACCAACTGTCAAGAAGAACTTCAACGCCCGCCGCACCCTCCACAAAGCAATCGACACCGTCCGCGCCATCAACAAACTGCGCGAAAACGGTGGCCTCATGATGGACGGCATGATGAGCGTCGACCCCAAGCCCGAGCAGGTTAACGGGAGCGAAGTCACAGAGGATCGATCATCATCCAACACCCCACAGGGTGGCGGAAGCGGCGACCAGATGGAAATAGACAGCCGTGGCAATGCCCGCGGCCAAACAGACCACCAGATCCGAGAACAAGAACGAAAAGTCAAGGCTACCGTTGCTGGGCTATGGAGTAAAACCGCCAACCGAGGTGGACAGTTTACGCCGCGTCGATGATTATAACACGAGGAGAAATGCCTGCATATGGAATAGAATAGCGATACCCTTACCCTCTTATAAACCCTTTCTGTCTATCTATCTGTTGGATGATGATATCTTTTTCTCCCCCGCGCGCTCGTTATAAGCTGCACTGCCGTTCATTTTAGCTCTGGCTTTTCTCGGTTGTGCATTTATTGGTGATATATGATTGTTGTTTGGTCTTGTTCATCATACTGGTTGTGAATAACCTTACGGGCTAAACATGACCACTTCGGGATATCGACTTATCACTTATCTACTTATTGTATTGCTTGGTATATACCTAGCATGGCTCTGATATATATATATATGGATTTGTTCGATGATGTTAAAACAGATCTAGGAGTTTCTTATAAATATACTTGGCATATTTATTTATATAACACTCTAGCACCTGCCACTTACAGAAACATGAATGTAGTGCATGCTTCCATTACGAATATTATTGAATGAATACAATATTGCATTCTACGTACCTATTATAACCCCGGAATATCTTCAGCCAATTGAAACAAAATAACGCCTATACCGGATAAAACACCCGTCCATTTATCATAGCCATCGTGGAGGGTTGTCATAGAACATAAGTCGTATCCCGTGATACTACTGGCCTGGTGACCCCGGCATAAGAGTGAGTGCAAGATGATCAAGTCAACAAATTCTCACTCCCATCATCCAAAGACAGCACCCATTTACGCCATTCTTGCCAGTGCTCGTAGTCTGCAGACGACTTGAGGCCTTGATACTTGACGGTGCGGAAGTCTGAGACCTGGTCCCATGGCTTCGAAGACGTCGGGTTCTGGCTTGTGCTGCTGCTACCCCTGAGGAATCTCCTCGTGGAGCTTTCGTACGGAGCGTCCCACCCAGCTTTGTGCATTAAGCTCTTCACGGTTTCTTCTTTCGTCCAGCCTTGTTCGACCGGAACGTCGGGGAGATACGTTGCACCGAAGCGGCGGCCGCGATGAATGAATGAGATGCGGATTCCGTGGACGCCGAGCGTCCAGTCTAGGGCGTTTGTGCATGGTTCGAAAGTCCCTAGGAGAGTTAAAGAACAGGAGAGGGAGGGGAGAAGTGATTCTGGGATTGGAGAAAACCGGGTGTCTTCAAAGGCACTGTTGATGGGTTAGTTAGCTTGGGTCTATGGGGAAGGGTTTGAAGGCGGCGGTAGCGATGCGTGGTAGGTGTACATACGATTCGAAGGCGTAGTGCTTCAGGCCACGAGGAAGTACTTGCGGCTCAAATGTACCGATACACCCACGCAAGGATTTACGGCCGCTCTTCGATAGTGTGTTCCATGTGACGAACAGGGGGTATTTCTGCTCGCCTAGCCTCTGTGGTGCGCTTGGAGTATCTGACTGCGAAGACATCGAGCTGGATGTGGTAGCACTCGAGAAGACGGAGCTTGATGACTTGTTAGACATCGTTGATGGTGTTGTAGATACACTAGAATCAGCTGCCTGGGTCTGAAGGCGGTCGATACTCGGGAGCTTAATGGTCTGAGGGCGTGAGATGCTCTGCACTCCCTGACCTGGTTCTTCAATATCGTTTACAGGCTGCTGCCCAGGGATGTCGTTCTCACTTGAAGGTAACGCTTCGCCGTCTTGAAGCTCGGAAAGTTTCTTGAACTGTTCGTGTCTTTCCCATAGCTCTTCCACAGCGGCAAGGCTGATAGAGTCATTACCCTCATACGATGCAGCCAGGCACTCGAAGCAATAGTAGCAATGGGCAGCAGTCGCCATGACCTTGAATGGGGATACAGGAGCGTCAAAGTCACCGACAGACAATAAAACGCATATGTTGCTTGTGACAGGAAGGTCCGGCCGGCTTGAATACTTTATGGGCGCAGCAGGGTATGTCACCCAACACTAAGTGTCTCCACCACCACGGCTGACAGTGGGCCAGATCTTTAAACCCAGGGAAATGCAAAGACTGCGTAGACGGAGCTTGAACTGCTGGAAGGCCGGAAGTCTGGGAGAAAGTTTGACTTTCAGAAAACGAGTGTCACCAGCAGTGTATTGCACAGCCTGAAGTTTATCAGGGTTGGGACCGTGGTGGGGTGGGATGAGGAGGAAGAACTAGGAAAGAAGCGGAGAGATCGAGAGAGGGGAACAGCCCCGATAAGCAGTAGCACGTGACTGATAACGTCTGTCTCCGTGGCTTTCCGGGGTTCCAAATCTGGAAAGTATACTTTTCAGCAATGTTCAGTGGGTTAGGAGACATACTCCTTGATGATCCTGTTCTATCTGATGCTGTCCATTCTATCTTCAATCTCAGACTATGCACCCGCGCTCCTGAAAATGCAAAACACAAAGTCGTTACAACTCCACCAATTTTTGTAGAGCAGATCACCGTTCGCGATCGTCTTTCGGCATAGGCACATTCATCATGGAAAGTATGTTCCCTGCTGGACCTGCCGACCCTGACTGTCCCTGAAGGCTTTCCAAGAGGTTCTTCACAAGGTTGATATTGATGTTATCGCCCTCGGCTTCCGCGCCCCCATTTATCCCTTCATTTGGTTCTTCCTGAGACACGGCACGTTTGCCCTGAGAGACATCACTAGGACGGTTCAAGTTCAGAACTCCCGTTCCTTTCAATTCAGCTTCCATTTCTCTTGAAAGCTGCTGTATTTGTTCAGTGTCATCCTCGGAGTCGGTGTCCAGTTCCTCCACTCGTTTGGACGTCTTCGGTGGTGCGGACGGCCCGCTAAGACCAGGCAAGGAAGGCGGCATAGACGACGGCATGCCCATCATCTCTTTCATCATTCTGGAAAATTCTTCCTCGTCAAAGGATGCGTCTTTGTCCTCCCCTTCGCTATCCAATTCTTCTTCCTCATCCTCGTCGACATCAGAATCTGTTCCGTAATCGTCAATGAAGTCGGCTCCTTCGAAGCCGGCTGATTCGTCGTTTAAGAACTTCTCAAACTGAGAAACTATACGTTGCAGATTTTCTTGTGCATTGGAGTCGCCAAATTCTCCCGCAGACTTTTCCTTCTCTTTGCCCTTCCCTTTAAGCTCCGTGTCCAGGTCCTCAAAGTTAATGTCCAACCACTTTTCGTCATCCTCACGCTTCTCCCAAGTTTGAATCTCTTCATCAGTGGGAAGAGATTCATCCCCCGTATCCAAGTCCTCGAGTATAAGTTTCATCTCTCGCACCAGCTGCTTATCCTGATTCTGGGGGTCTGTGAGAAGCATTTCGAACCCTGAAGTAACTTTCATACCCGTATCAGCACGGTCATATAACTTCCGATCCTCAATAGAAGGTAATTTTCCGACCCAAGATTTGGGAGCCGGGAAATCCTGGCTTTTAATTTGCGCATAGCCAGTCCGTGTAAATCTGGTGCTCACTGTAATGAAATCCTCAGGCTTGAAAAGTAAGTCTCCTGCATCTTTGCCTCGAAGAGGCCTCAATGCGATTGGATCCCGAAGGTAAAAGGCTTCGACAGCGGGAGATATATAAGCGGGCTTTTGATGCAAGAGGTAGGCCACCTTGCGAGGGATAGTAACCAAAGCCGAATGGAGGTTCTCACTAATCTGCTTGGGATAATTCCGTAGTCGGTAAAATGCCTCTTCCTGAATCATGGCTGAGCGCATAAGTCGCTTGGGATCCTCTTTTATTATCCTCCTCGCCTCCGGCAGCGATATCGTTTCCGTGACTTTGCCCTTTTCATTCTTCGGCTTAATGACAACAAGATCTCCCTGATGCAGCCATACCTAATGAGCAGTTAGCATATGCGGTAAAGTTGTGGGTTAGAAAGGCGAGGCATACCCTATTATCTGCTATTTCCGGTTCCAGCCATGAAGGCAACGCACCGGCAGCTTCTGCAAGGAGGAACTGACCATCATTATCTGTCACCGTAGCCCAGGCATCTGGGTGTTTCTTCGTCAACTCCCGCAACAGATACACGATCACCCATTCATCTTCGACTGAGTCTCCGAAATTTGTCCGACCGCTTAATATGGTTGTTCCTAAGACATGATCTTGTTAGATATGCTCGTAAGACAAAGAGGTATGGCGCGGCGCAAACATACCGTCTTTTTTGGTAAGCTCAAGGCGAAATGCCTCTCTTTGCCATATATAGTTTTTTAGTAATTGTTTAGTCAATTCAGCAGAGGATCTCTGCACCTCCGTCAACCGTGCTCGTGTATCCGCGACCTCATCGACAACAGCGGGGGCGGGGCTTGTAGGAATATATTGTAACGAGTATTCGATGCAGTCGTCCGGTAGTTCAGGTTTAGGAATGGGCCGAAAGGTGGACTTGAACCACTCGATATCCTCCTGCGACATGGGCGCCATAATTATCCACTTCTTAAAAGCTCCCTAATTTGCACAGGAGCTATCGCGTTCTTTTTTCGCCGCAAGTCCAAAATCCAGAGGCTAAAATTACCATTGGTATGACTTCATACCAACCGAAACGCGGATAATCCCCGGTCCGACATGTGCCCGCCGTTAACGCTAAGCCGCTTCGAGCTAGATGTCAACAACTTCGAGCATTTACTTTCACCGCCCAAAACACGTCCATCACCAATGTGTCTTGCTTCTACCCATTGAGCCCAACTCTTTTATCCCGCGTTGTCGGGGAGGTTTGTGCGCTGGAGGACATTGGAATTTTATTGAATCCACCAACTACAGCAATTTTCCGCGCGACTGAACCCGAAAATGGCTTACCCATACATCGACACCCCGCGCACCGAAGTCGACGGGAACGCGACTTACCTGACGAATGGCTATCGCAGCGTCGGACGGCACAATCTATCGGCCCTCGACTCGGTCGAAAACTCATTCCAGACACCCTCAAAAGATGAAGATGTTCTCAAGGTTCTCGGCGACGGGCGCAGACGTAGCTCTGCAGGATCGAAGCTCAACACACCCCGGGCGACTGGCGGCCCGAAGTCAACGAGGAGCGCGTTAAATTCACGGCAACAGCTTCCCACGACGGGTGTGAAGGGTGAATTCACCCCAATGCTAAAGAGCGCCATGAAGAACAATTACATGAAAAATACGTCAACGCGAGGAGGGCCCAGCGCGCCGAAAACCCCATCTTACCTGAGGCCGGGCTATCGGAGTAATGGAAACACGCCAGGGTTACCTGGAGCGGATATGACAGGCATTGATGAGGAAGACGCGACGGTCGATGACCCGACACCTGTTCCCCAAGTAGCCAGCAGCAGTGTCCAGAGCACGCCGCTCCCAGGGCTTACTAGTAGAGATGGAAACATCCTCGGCGATGGGAATAATATGACATTAAAAGAACAGGAAAAGGTACAAAAAAAGATTAATTAGTACATTGTCTTATGAACGACGTGCTGACTTCTGCAGATAATCGATAAGCTTGACAAGGACAACTTTGGGCTCAAATTGAAGATCCACTTCCTCCAAGAACAATTAGAAAAGGCCGGGCCAGCCTACAGCCATACAGCGCTGCTGGAGAATACAGAACTCAAGGTCTCGAAATTGACGATGCAACGCGATATCTCACGGTATAAAAAGGGTCTCCAACAAGCCGAACGCGACCTGGAAGCCTACCGCCAACAGTTCCAGGACCTCAAGGAAAATATGCGCAGAAGACATACGGATGAGACTGTACAACGTGAGATGGAGTCGATGCGGGAGGAGCTCGATAGCAGGGACCAGCGTGTGAGGGAACTCCAAGAGCAATTAAGGGAAGCAAAGGACTCGCAGTCAGAGGAAATCGACAAGCTGCGAGATGACATTGAGGACTTGGAAATGTCCCTCAGGGAGAAAGACCGCACAATTGAGGAGCGCGAAGAGGAGATCGAGGAACTGAAAGACAAAGACGGCCAAGAAAATGATGCACTGTCTGAGTTGGAATCGGAGCTTCGACGAGCCAAGGAACAGTTGGAGGATCTGCAGGACTCTCTTGACCAAGCAAAATCGGAAGCTATCGACGCGCGAACCTCTGAACAGCAGGTTTTGGAGGAGAAGGAGCGGGCTGAGGAGAACCTGCAGGAGCTGCAGGATGAGATGGCGAACAAATCTTTTAGCACCAAGGGCCTTGCCCGTCAGTTGGAAGAGGAGGTGAAGGAGCTTCGTCAGAAGAACAATGATCTCAAGGAGGAGCTTGAATCAAAAGCCCAACGAATGACTAGCCTTGAAGAACAATCTCAGGAGTCTCGCAAAAACACAGACAACGAACAACAGAGATTACTGGAAGAGCTTGGTCAAATAAGACGGGAGCGCGAGCTGGCCTGTCAGGAACGGGACAGCCTAAATGCTCAGCTTCATGAAGCGCAAGATGAAATCCAACGCAGGAGTGATGAAAAGGCTCTCCTTCATACTCGGCATCACGCCCTGACAGACGAGTCCGGCAACCTGCAAAGCGAACTTGCCAAATCACAGTCTAAAATCCGGGAGCTCCAGGAATCGCTTGATGCCGAGAAACATAACGCCTCGGAAGAGGCGGAGAATGTGCGCTCCCAATATTTGGAAGATATTGAGCGATTGCAAGAAGAGATAGAATCCCTTCACCACGAAATCGAAGATAAGGAGGGACAGTTCGCTCTCGAGCAAGACCGATGGGAGAGCATGAGGCGCAACTTACAACTTCAAAAGGACAGGGCGGAAGATCAAGCCGCAGGTTTCAAGCGGACTATCGAGAAGCTCGAACAAGTGGAACACACGCTGACAGGGAAAGAGTCTAAACTGCAAGATGTCATTGATAGCGAGAAAGCGAGGCATTTCAATGCCGAGGCCGTTCTTGGTCGACAGGTGAAAGAATTAAATGACGATCTGTCTGCGAAGCGAGAAGTCATCGACCAAATACGGCATGAGCTACTTTCTGTCAAAGAGGAGCTTCGCCTATCGAGACGCGCGGAAGCAACACTCAAGGAAAGAGTCCAGTCTCTCGAGGATGAGGTGGTTGTTCTCCAGTCAAACCTGGAGGAAGAACAAGAATATGCTAAAGAACGCTCCGAGAAAGGGCCCACTGAACAGGATGGGCAAGTACAGAAGATACTTGCTGATAAGCAGAAGCTTCGCGACCAATTGGCCAATGCACATGTTGAGTTGCATGACTTGAGAACGACAAAGGTCGATATCGAGACGGAACGCGATGAGCTCCAAGTGCAGCTAGAACAAGCCCAGAATCAAGTGGGTGACACGACCAAATTTGATAAGGAGAAGGTTGAGCTTCGAAAAACATCGCTTCGGCTGGAAAACGAACTTAAGAGGCTCAAAGAAGACAGAATGTCGCTCCTGGAGACCAAAGACTCGCTCGAGAATCAACTGGGAAGTGAGATTGAAAGAGCTGCTCTGGAGGAGAACCGTTTGTCTGCCGAGATCGATCAGCTCCATGACAAACTACAGTCGGCCTCCGGTGGAAAAGAACGAGAACTCGCGCTGGCCAAAGGCAAACTACAGCGATTCGAGAGGCGTATCCATGAGTTGGAAGAGCTTCTCGAGCAACAGCCTCCCGCGGACTATGAGCAGTCAGCCGGCTCCGCAGATCTATCAGTTCTGCGTCATAGTCTGGATGAAGTGCGGAAGCGAGAGAAGGCGTTAATTCAGCGCGAAGCCGACCAGAAAGCTTCGATTCGTGCTTACAAGTCGAAGGTCGTAGAGCTCGAGAGAGAACTACATGATGCAACGATCAAGAAACTCGACATCCAATCCCCTTCGTCGTCACCTGCTAGTAAATTGCATGAAGAGGTTCGGTCTCTAAGGAAGCAGCTCTCAGACGCGCATCGTGCTTTAAGGGAGCTGAAATCAAAGAACCACAGTCTCGAACGAGCCGCAATGCGGGAAGAAGACCAGCGTGACCTGCACGAGCTACTTAAACAATCTACCTTGGAAGCTGAATCTTTGGCCCTCAAAGTCTCAGAGAAAGAAGCTCAGGTGAACGACGCCGAAGCTAGGACTCGCAGAATCCGCGAAGAACGTGCATCTTACGCTCGCAAGGCCAACGCAGCAATCAAAGAACTCGACTCTCTTCAAGACCGTTACAAGCACGCCATGGAAAAGGCAGGAACCAAGGGAGAGAATAGGACCAAGCACGAAAAAGAGATGCTCGGCCTAGGCAAGGAAATCCTCTGGCTCCGCGCGCGACTCAAGAGGGAGCAGAAGTTCCGTTGTGACCTGGCGTGGAGTAAGGGCCTGATGGAACTCGGGGAACGTGTTCGGGTAGCTTGGTATGTTATCCGGCTGCAATTCCTCCCTAAAGTAAATGTACTGACTGATTTTCTCTCTGTGTAGCAATGAAGCCGACCTCCGCATGATCTCCGAGATGGGTGTCAAGGCCCGTGATCGCAACAATGCCCGAACTCCAACTGAGAAGCTCAAGACAGCCGTTTCCATGGTCAAGGCCATCGTTCGAATGCAAAGGATGGGGCGCGAGTGGAAGAAGACGACAAAGCTAGGTGAGGGCCTCAAGCGGGCTAAGAATGAAGTTATAAAGAGGAGGGAGAGGGAGTCATTAAAGGCATAGAACTGCACTCCGTCCCTCCCGCATTTTTGGAAGCTCTTTTCCCTTTTTTGTTTATATTGAATAAGTGATTCCCCAGCGATGATTGTGGCCTTTATTGATTTTGCCTTCGTGTTTTGCTTTCATTTACATGTATTGGCGTTTCCCTGGAGTTGCATGGATGACATGACTCGGTGCTCTGCTCTTGGTTTAAGATTTAGTTATCAGTCGCATGAATACCTACTACCAAGGGGCCTCTTTGGATTTTTTTCTCTGCATATTTAACCGAAAATTGTTGATTGTCTACCCTTTCATCCATCTAGCCCGCTGGTCCGTAGTTTCCTATTGTTTCGTTGATAGATAGATGCTGAGGAGGCCATATCATCTTGATCAGGATTGGAAAGGGCAGAAAGCACACGATCGTACAGTGCATAAAAATTCTTCAAGTTCAAGTTGTTAGTTGTATTTTGGCACTAGATTTAGGTACGCTATGAATTCAAGAAACAGTTGAAAGCAATGTAACGCCTTGCCTGCCTAGGTAGCCTCATCCAACAGATAAAAACGCTTAACACCGGTATGTGAGGAGAAAATGGACATGGACCGCATCAAAGGTCAAAGGTAGTAGGTGAACTAGCAATAAGTGGACCAGGGATGACTTCGTGATGACGACGGGAATGAGGAGAGCGGCGCGCATGGATATAACCAACAAGATAGTTGAACGCTAATGTCGGCGTTATGTATAGAGGAATGGTCTATCGGATTCAACACCGGAGATGAATACGCAAAAAGGACTGAGAAACGACGCATATAGGATTAGGCACCCTCACTGCCGAACTCTTCCGTCCATTGAGTATTCCTCTTTAGATCATCTTGGCTGACTGTTGGTCGCGAGTTGCGAACGGCCTTAATGAAGTCTTTGAGTACGAGAGGAGGTTCTAGGAGTTGCTCGGCCTCGACATTCTCCCACCTCATCTCCATTGCACCATTGTCGCCGGGGGAGCATGGAGTTAATTTCTCTTGGCCTTCATGTAGTACCTGTGAATTGGATTAGCGCTGGACCGACTGAGCATGCAAAAGGAGGTTGACCTTACCTTCTTGTAGTGTGTTGCTGTCTGGATTTTGCGAATGGGTTGCATAAGTGCGTCCTGGACTGCGATACTGATATCGCTGCCGGAGTAGCCCTCGCTTTGTTCTGCGAGTGACCGGTAGTCGGCCTGTGTCATAAGGCAGGGTGTCGAGCCCACTGCTAGCATGAACATCTTCATGCGCGCGTTGACGTCTGGTAGACTAATATGGACCCGTCGTTGGAATCTTCGGCGGATAGCGGCATCTAGCTGCCAAGGAATATTCGTTGCGCCTAGAATGAGGACGCCTTTGGAGTCATTGCCTACTCCGTCCATTTGAACAAGCAATTCGGTCTTGATACGGCGAGAAGCCTCAGAATCGTTCTCCCCACGAGCACCACAGAGCGCATCAACTTCATCGATAAAGATAATCGCGGGTTTGTTCTCTCGGGCCATGTTAAAGAGCTGTTTCACGAGTCTGTAAGGTGGCGTCAGTTCTGGACAGGCACGACACATAGGCTTCGGAAGTTTACCTTTCACTCTCACCCATCCATTTCGAAACCAGATCACTACTGCTGACACTGAAAAATGTGCTGTTTGCCTCTGTTGCGACGGCCTTGGCGAGATAGGACTTTCCAGTACCCGGAGGCCCGTAGAGTAGAATACCCTTCCACGGTTGTCGCCGTCCAGTAAACAAGTGTGGAAACTTTATGGGGAGAATGACTGCTTCTTTCAAGGCCTCCTTTGCGCCCTCAAGACCCGCAACGTCCTCCCATTGCACATTCGGCTTTTCCGACAAGATGGCACCAGCAAGGGCGGACCGTAGCTTTTTCGAATCGGCGTCTTCACCGTCGTCCTCTTCCTTCCTATACGGCAAGGAGAAACGCAAATCAGTACAGCCGAAAGCTATGATGGAGATTAGACGACAACATACCCGCCTTTTCCACTGCCTTGCGACACTTTGCCGTTGGCGCCTACCGCACTTGGCTTTTTCCGACTATCCTGCGACGCCAGATGGTTCTTCAGCTTCTCCGCGCGATCCATGTACTCGCCCGTCTTTGCGCGGATCATCTCCTTGGACCTGGGGTTCTTCTCCCATTTCAGGGCGAGCATGAATAGCTCTAGCGCGGAGTAGTATTGCTGATAAGCTTTCTCGTACTCGCCCTCATTGTCGTTCTCGATGGCTTTCTTGACGGTGTCAATCGCGCGGCCGAGAAAGTCGGTGTTGCTCATTCTGGCGGCAGATTTCCAGTGGCTTGTCGGCTACTTCTTTTCCGTTTCTGGAGAGCGATTCGATCAGGCACGGCTGGCTGAGACGCAAAGAGGGGAACTTGAAAGCGGGGAGTTGAAGGGAAGCGAAGGGTTGCCTAGGAGGTCGTAATGCGGTAAAACAAGAGATTCGAGGATGGAGGTTTTTCGCTACGAGGAAAGTATAGGAAGGACGAGAAAGAAAAAAAGGACAACACGAGCGACGAGTAGAGAGCAGCGGCGTTGTTTTGTTCGCGGGGATCAGATGGGGTGGAGAGGGAGTTGATCGGTCTTGCCTGGACAACGCCGCCTTTCGGTAACTCTCTTGTGCTCTGGATGCTTTTCTGCCGCTCCAGCATCAGCCATCAACTTTTCCCCTCACAGCCTTTTCTCTTTTCATTTCTCCTACATTTCTTAACCATGGCAGACCCACAGAAGCAGATGCAAGCCCTGTCGGAGGAATACCAGACTCTCCAGACCGGTACGTCTACAATTGTGTCCTTGGAAGCGGAGCGGGGCACCAGTGAACCCCCTCTGTGATCTATTATAGCAACCATTTATAAGACAGGGCACTGACAAGAACCTCCCAATAGAGCTTGACGGCCTTGTCGATGCGCGCCAAAAACTCGAATCTCAACAGCAGGAGAACAAGAGCGTCCAGACCGAGTTCACATCCCTCGACGATGACGCCAATATCTTCAAGCTCATCGGCCCGGTACTATTGAAGCAAGACAAGAGCGAGGCATTGATGGCCGTTAATGGACGCCTAGAGTTCATTGAAAAAGAGATGTATGTATGCGTCCTCTGTTATCGACTACCCAATGTGCAGAAGCTGGGGTCGAGGAACTGAGCGGGGACCTTTGCTTATTATGAATTCGCAGTAAACGGATCGAGGGCCAAATAAAGGAAAACGAAGAAAAGACTGATAAGAAGCGGTCAGACGTGAGTCTCCTGAGTGTAATTCTAAAGGTTAATCCCAGACTAATAGGCTATTTAGATGATCCAATTCCAAAGTCAGATTCAGCAACAGGCTGCTGCCGCCTCCGCGTCTGCGTGAGCTCCAGCTTGCCTCGAGACCGTCGGATTAAGAACCCGGACTATGATATTGTTTGGGAAATAGAGGAAGTTGATGGAGTGATACCCAGTCTATGAACGCCATTTGAGCTAGCAATTCACACGGTGCATTCTTTGCGCCTAGTAGCGGGGAATTGGGACCGGTGATTGTCGCCTGTGAGAAGGTCAAATCGACCTTGATAGGGAGCCCCGGGAAACATTTGTGGTATATCGTTAGTATTGGATTTGCCTATCTGCTACATTAAGCGCAGGGCCTAAGGCGCACATTTCGCGCTTGGTTGCTACTGGTGTTGCCTGTCTTGGTTTGCCATGACATTTGAGAAAGATATCTGAGAGCTACAGTATATGCTCAATTCAAAACTCCGTGACTATTCATCTCTTCATAAATAAAGCTATTTCTAATTAGCGTGAAAGAAAATCTATATTCTTTATTACATTTATGCCTTAACAAGCAGGTTTTCTCCGGACATTTCCTCGGGTTTCTCGATGCCCATGGCAGCGAGGACGGTTGGCGCAACGTCTCCGAGGACACCAGGTTCCTTTCGGAGACTCCAGCCCTCGGGAGCGTTGGCCATGACGAAGGGAACGTAGTTGGTGGTGTGGGATGTCTTGGGGGTACCCTTTTCGTTGAGCATCTCCTCAGCGTTTCTGCCAGGTGGTTGGGTTAGCTTGTTTTGGTTTCGGGTAGGTGGTGTACATGGGATGGCAAAACTTACCCGTGATCAGCGGTGATGAAGAGCGTGTAGCCGTTCTTCTTGCAGGCTTCGTAGATGACACCGATGGCCTTGTCGGTGGCTGCGACACCCTTGATGGCAGCCTCGTAGACACCAGTGTGACCAACCATGTCAGGAGGAGCAAAGTTGTTCATCACGAACTCGAACTTGCCTTCGGCCAGGCGCTCCTCCATCTTCTTTCCTACGCCATCGGCACTCATCTCGGGGTCGAGGTCATAAGTGGCAACCTTGGGAGAGGGGATCATGTCGCGAACCTCGCCTGGGAACTGCTTCTCGATACCACCGTTGAAAAAGAAGGTGACGTGAGCATACTTCTCGGTCTCAGCGACGTGGCACTGCTGAACATCCTTCTTGCTGAGCCACTCGGCCAAGACGTTGCCCATGTGCTGAGGGGGAAAGGCGACCGGGAAAGTGTAGTCGGTCTTGTACTGGGTCATGGTGGTGATGTGGATGTTCTTAGGGTAGGGGAGGTCGGGCCTAGGCGAGCGGTCATAGTCACCGAGGAGCTGTGTGATCTCACGAACACGGTCGGAGCGGTAGTTGAAGAAGAAAAGGGTATCGTCATCCTGCACACGCCTGTCCTTGCCACCAACGATGATAGGCTTAAGGAACTCGTCTGTCTGGTCCTGGGCGTAGCGGTCTTCAATGGCCTTGACGGGGTCGGAGCTCTCCTCGCCTTCACCGGAGAGTATGCCCTTCACACCAACCTCAACACGCTCCCAGCGCTTGTCACGGTCCATAGCATAGTAGCGTCCAACGATGGTGGCGATTTCACCAATGCCAATCTCCTTGGTAGCATCAAGCAGTTGCTGCATGTACTTGGCGGCACTCTTAGGGTCGGTATCACGTCCGTCACCGAAGAAGTGGATAAAAACTTCAGGGACCTCGATCTCCTTGGCGACCTTCAATAGACCAATAAGGTGGGTGATGTTGGAGTGGACTCCACCATCGGAAACAAGACCTAGGAGGTGCAGACGGCCATTGCCATCCTTAGCACGCTTGAAAGATGCAGCAATGTTTTCCACCTTGATCAACTCTCCCTTCTTAAGTGTCT